TCGTACAATCAGATTCCAAAGAAGCCGTAACAGAATTCGAGAAGGCGGCCAAAGAGGCAGTTGAAGAACTAGAGAGTGAGAACGAGTTCACACCTGGTGACGACTCGATTAATTTTTTAGGGAACACTCCCGGCTTCCGTACATTGAACGATGGTTGGCTGGGAGAACTCTGAAGATGTTGATTGACACTGGCGGCGCAAAAAATTATGTGAAGCCCTTAACAGAGCTAAAGACCATAACGCCGGTCGCCAAGTCACTCTCGGTAAACTCAATCCACGGGTCTACCGAAATCAAGCGCAAATGCTTGATGAATATTTTCCAACATACTTCCCCGGTTTTTCTCCTCGATACTTTCTTTCGACGCCATCATAGGCTTCGACTTGCTAACACAAGCCGGAGTCAAATTGAACTTGGAAAAAAACACTCTGGAATACCAGAGTACATCTGAAAAACTCCAGTACTATCAATGTGCTAATGCGAACTTCACCGATGTCAACGACATCGTAGTCCCCCCTTCGTAAAGAAAGAGTTAAGGGACATGATACTCAGAACCAAAAGAGCTTTCTCAAATACAGATGAAGCTCTCCTTTTTAATACTGCTGTTATCGCTACAATCCGAACAGTAGACAACGAGCCTGTGTATTCAAGATACCCGAATCTCATGGGTGTTTCTGACTTAATAAACAAAGAAGTCAAACAATTACTGGACGATGGCATAATCAGGCCCTCCAGATCGCCTTACAACAGCCCAACATGGGTGGTTGATAAAAAAGGCACTGACTCATACGGTAACCCAAAAAAAAGGTTGGTAATCGACTTCAGGAAACTGAACGAAAAAACCATACCGGACCGCTACCCCATGCCGAGCATCCCCATGATCTTAGCAAATCTAGGAAAGGCGAAATACTTCACTACCCTCGACTTAAAGTCTGGGTACCATCAAATCTACCTTGCGGACCATGACCGCGAAAAGACTTCGTTGTAAGTAAGCAGCGGCAAGTACGAGTTCTGTCGCCTACCATTCGGCATGCGCAATGCAAGCAGCATATTCCAAAGGGCAATAGACGATATCCTGAGGGAACATATAGGAAAGATTTGCTTTGTCTATGTAGACGACGTCATAATTTTTTCTAAAAATGAAACGGAGCACCTTAAACACATTAACATTGTGTTAAAATGTCTAATCGACGCCAACATGCGTGTAGGCCCTGAAAAGACTCGATTCTTCAAGGAAAATATCGAATTCCTGGGTTTCATTGTAACCAAAGACGGAGCAACATCCGATCCCAAAAAAGTTAAAGCCATTCAGGAATTCCCTGAACCAAAGAGTGTCTACAGCGTTAGGTCCTTCTTGGGGTTAGCCAACTACTATAGGATCTTTATTAAGGACTTTGCCGCTATAGCGCGTCCGATATCGGACATACTTAAAGGGGAAAATGGTTCAGTTAGTAGGCACGTGTCAAAGAAAATCCCTGTTGAATTTAATGAAGTTCAACGCGATGCATTTCACCGTCTGCGGAGTATTTTGGCATCAGAAGATGTCATGTTAATGTATCCGGACTTCCAGAAACCGTTCGATTTAACCACTGATGCTTCGGCCAGTGGAATCGGCGCGGTTCTTTCCCAAGGCAATAGGCCAATAACAATGATTTCTCGCGCCTTTAAACAGGCCGAACAAAACTATGCCACTAACGAAAGAGAATTGCTGGCCATTGTGTGGGCTTAAGGCAAACTGCAGAACTTTCTGTACGGTTCTAGGGAAATTAACATTTTCACGGACCACCAGCCGCTCACGTTCGCTGTGTCAGACAAGAACACGAATTCCAAGATTAAAAGATGGAAATCTTACATTGACCAGCACAATGCCAAAATGTTTTATAAACCGGGCAAAGAGAATCTGGTGGCGGATGCCCTTTCAAGGCAAAACATTAATGCTCTGCAAAATGGGCCCCGTTCGGACGCTGCAACCATTCACAGCGAACTTTCCCTGATCTACACGGTCGAGACAACAGACAAACCTTTAAATTGCTTTAGGAACCAGATTGTCCTAGAGGAATCGCGTTTTTCGTTAAAGCGAAACTTGTTGCTGTTTCGCAGCAAAACACGCCTCTTGATCAGTTACACTGACAAGAGCACAATTCTCAAAACTCTCAAAGAAGTTGTGAAGTCTGGAGTCGTTAATGCAATACATTGCGATCTTCCCACGTTGGCAAGTTTCCAACACGACCTGATCTTGCATTTCCCTGCCACCCAATTCTGGTATTGCAAAAATCTTGTGCAAGATATAACGGACAAAAACGAGCAGTTAGAAATCATCACTGTCGAGCACAATAGAGCGCACAGAGCAGCTCAGGAAAACATTAAACAAGTACTTCGTGACTATTATTTTCCCAATATGGCCAGTTTGGCCAAAGAAGTGGTTGCAAACTGCAGGGTCTGCACTAAAGCCAAGTACGATAGGCACCCGAAGAAACAAGAACTCGGGGAAACGCCTATACCAAGTTATACTGGCGAAATGTTGCATATTGACATTTTCTCGACAGACAAGAAACAGTTCTTAAACTGCATAGACAAATTCTCCAAATTTGCAGTCGTCCAACCGATATTATCCAGAACGATAATCGATGTCACAAGCCCTTTACCGAAAATTGTTAACTTTTTCCCCGCAACCAAGACAATTTATTGCGATAACGAGGCGGCCTTCAATTCCGAGACCATCACTTCGATGCTCCGAAACGGCTACGGCATTTGCATTGTGAATGCGGCTCCGCTTCACAGCACCTCAAACGGCCAGGTGGAGCGCTTTCATAGCACCCTGACCGAAATTGCGAGATGCCTTAAGTTAGACAAGAAAATCAGCGACACTACAGAATAATCTTAAAGGCTACGATAAAGTACAACAAAAGTTTGCACTCAGTAACCCGCGAGGTCGTCCAATAGAGGTCGTCCATGCCGCAGCTTATGATCGTAGCGAGAACGTCAAAGACAGGCTAATTAAGGCACAGCAAGACAATATCAAAAGGTGCAATGCATCCAGGCAAAACCGCGTTTTCGAGGTAGGAGAAAAGGTGTTCCAGAAGAACAACAAGAGGCTAGGGAACAAGTTAACTCCCTTATGCTCAGAACAAAAGGTCGAAGCAGACCTGGGAACGTCTGTCCTCATTAAGGGGAGGGTGGTCCATAAGGGCAACCTGAAATAAGTTTTCCTTCACAATTAGCTAGTAAGCCAACTTAGAGTTAGAACATCGTCTTATATTGTTCGCCCATTTCAGGTTTGCACTCACTTTGCTTGTGGCACTAGCAGCGGTAAATACTCGGATCACCGACTTCTCGCATGCCAATTACATTCCGGTCTTAGACGGGGAAGTACTGGTGTTCGATCAACGTAGCTACTTGAGGCACTCAAGTAACATTTCTGAATTTGTTAGTATGGTAGACGAGACGGAAAAACTGTCCGATTCCTTTCCACAGTCGCATATGCGCAAACTACTAGACGTAGATACAGATCACCTTAGAACATTGTTGTCCGATCTTCAAGTGCATCACAGATTTGCACGAAGCCTCGATTTCTTAGGCACTGCCTTGAAGGTTTTTGCTGGCACCCCTGATGCTTCAGATTTCCTAAGGGTCCGCGTTACAGAGACGCAGTTGGTGGAGGCTAACTCCAAACAGATACTAATAAACTCCGAAACTCAAAATCAAATAAACAGACTGACGGACACTATCAACAAAATTATCAGTTCCCGCAAAGGCGATTTGGTTGACATTCCTCATTTATTCGAGACACTGTTGGCAAGAAATAGAATACTGAACACAGAAATTCAAAATTTAATACTCACCATAACGTTGGCAAAAGCAAACATAGTAAATCCTACAATCATTGATCATACCGATCTGAAATCACTTATCGAAGAAGATACCCCAATAGTAAGCTTAATAGAAGCTTCTAAGATCAAGGTCCTTCAGTCCGAGAATATTATCCACATATAAATAGCCTACCCTAAAGTTGAGTTTATGTGCCAAAAGGTCTCCGTCCACCCCGTTTCACACCAACAAACCATTCTGCGACTCGACGAAGACACGTTGGCGGAATGCGAAAAGGATACCTTTGCAGTTACTGGATGCACCGTAACTACGCATAACACCTTCTGCAAACGAGCACGGCGCGAAACCTGTGCTAGCTCCCTTCACGCGGGAAACATCGCCAACTGCCACACTCAAACTAGCGTCCTTTTTATGGCACTAAGGAGAAAGCGAGCTACATTAAGGATGCAGAAGGCTTTGGACAACTTTAATACGACCGAGGACGGCCATCATCCTAAGGGGGGGGTAGTTAACAAGTAAACATATAAGATACACTCTCACAGTCATACATTGGTATTTCTAAGTACGTAACACACAATCATAAGTATTTGGTTGCCCTCAGCAACAAATACAACAACACACAGCCTTAAGCATTTTGGTTGCCCTCAGCAACATATTCTTGTAAACAATGCTGACCCGCTGCCAAGAGTTCTGCGCACAGCAACTGAAAACGGACACCCGTGCTGCTTGCGCAAGAATGCTGAGTCGGCATGCCGACTCTAGCGTATGGCGTGATGCATTGGCTTCACAGGGCAAGCTTAAGCTTGAACATTTCTGTAGCCTGCAGTCTCAATCTAGATCGCAACATTATAAGACGAGTAAATGATTAAACTCCGGCATTGCCGTCAATAAACATTATTTGTGTTATCAATCATAGTTGACCACGTCCAAGACGGGCAACTGGGAAAGTTCCCACAACCTAATCACATCGTTCCAACAGTCTCCTGTTGGATTCATCGCCACCTCATAAGGAGAAGAATTCACCTGTTGGATTAACCACACATCGTCGCTAGACAACGAAGTTACGACGGAAGACTTAATTTATATACAATCGTCTATATACATATGTACATAGGCAATGCAATAATCGTTTTCTTAATTTAAATTAAAATTAATAATACATACAATATTTATAGACTTACAAGAAGCAGCCACTAAGTTAAATGAAAGTGAAGCAACAACGAACGATGATATATCCGGTAAGAACAATACTAAAGTGCCTTTGAAATAAATTTATGAGCATTGTCCTTTAAAAGAGGCGCCATTAGCAGCTTATAAGTCATATACTGACACAACAAATAAAAGCAACCTGGGACAATTTGAAGCTTTCGGTATGTGTGCAATTATTAAAACTAAGCCAGGACTAAATAAAAAATCATTTGTATTACACTTCTGACAGAGTTATGTTTTGTAATGTATTTATTATTATATGTTAAGTTTTAAATATGCATAATTGTGAGTACCACAGTTTTAAGGCCAGAGACGGAAAATATCAAAAGATTTATAGCCTTATTAGTTGCTGAAAACAATTTAATTATCATTTGTATTATGAGTTAATCATATATGCAAAATCAGATTAATTTATTATAAAAAGCTACACAAAAGACACAATCGGTCATTACTTTTCTAGGAATAGTGTATTCTCTTGTACGCTATATGCCTCCGGACGTACAAACCTTTTTTAGTATTCAGAAAGTTTTTGATAATTTGTATTTTAACTAAAGCTAACATTGTATACTGATAATACTCGCCTTTTGGATTGTTACCTAATTTGTGCTAGTACCAGCTATTTTGTGTTCGTTTCAGGTGTCTTGTGCCCGTCTTATATTAACATGTAAAATAAATAAATGTATTAATAAAATACTTATACCTTAACATAATAGACAAAGACTGGCCTCTAAATGGCTAGATTCCCCAGCATAAGCATTTTATACTTTTAAATCGCTTGATTCCAACTATACTCCGGATATAACTAATCAGTCCAGCACTTATATACTTCCAAGTTTAACTTACACAATGTAACTCCACTAAGTGATATAAGGGATTTGATTATTCCTAATTGTGAAAACTTTTTTTTGCTTGTTTTGTAATAAATTGCAATCAAAATTCGTTCGTCACTTGCATAATAATAAGCTACAAGTAAAAAAGTGTTTATGCCTGTCGAAAAATGACAAAACTCGAAGAGTAGTTATTAATGTATTTAAAGTAATGGCGATTAAATCGACAATATCGATGCATCGTTAAATAACGAAATATTAAAGCGAATTAACTCTAAAAACGAATATGTTGTCATATGTTGCAAGAGTACAATACGCAGTCATATAAATAATTGCATAGGCGGCGATCATAAGAAAGGAACTCCTGACTTGCTTAAGCAAGGTCGCTCTACAACCGGCTCTATGCATAAAAGTGCAAGTGACGTTCTCTTGTAAGCTATATGCCTCCTGACGTATTTAAACCGTTTTTGTTAATTTTTTTATTTATCTACTAAGGCTATTTTTATATACTTGATATTACTCAAATTTTATTTCGTTAACTGATTCGTGTTCATTCCAGCTAGTTTGTGTTCGTTTCAACTGTCTTGTGCTCGTCTTATATTTATATATTTCTAACAAAGGTAATGAAAAGTATAAATACATTTTTTTTATATATATAAATAAATTCCTTATCATGATCAGTACAGATATACATTTTTTTAACAACATTCATGCTGCTTAACGTTACATGAAAATGATTGTATTAAAATATAAGATGCAATAGAGACACATCCGAATGATCATAGCAAATGCCAATTAACTGCAACTGAAGTGGAGGTATACACTATGCCATATCCTTAAAGGTCTGAAAGTTAAGCAAAATAAATGTTCTTAAATATGTATATGGCACTGCTCCTAGTGCTTCTATATTGAATACAAAATATTTACTTAAAATATTGAATTACGTCCATTAATAATTAAAATAGATTTCTTATTATCTATTAATTATTAAATATATTCAAATAGATGCATCCGAACAATTTATAAACACAACTCAAAATGCATCGGCTAATAGTGGATCTTTAGGACTTAATGACTTTGGCTCTAATTGTTTAGATTCATCGGCAAAAAATCAAAATCATTCCACGATAAACGATTCATTTCAATCGCTTAATACTAATTGTCCAGATTCCACGCAAGGATTCGATTCCAGTTATGCTCCGGATATAACTAACCGGTCCAGCATTTTAAATAATTCCAACATTAAACAAGTTTTTTCTTACACAACTGAAACTCCACTAAGTGATGTAAGGGATTTAATTATTCCAACTGCGAAAAGCCAAACAAATTGTAAGAAACATTTTTGCTTATTTTGCAATAAATTGCAAACAAAATTTGCTCGTCACTTGCAGATTGTTCATAAAAATGAGCTGCAAGTACAACAATTTTTGTTCCTGTCGAAAAATGACAAAACTCGCAGATTACTTATTGATGAGATTAGGAAAAATGGTGATTTTATCCATTATATCGATGCATCGTTAAATAACGGAACTCTAATCGTGCCTCGTCAAAAGCGTGTAAGCTCTAAAAACGAAGCGGTTGATTTCATATGTTGCAAGGGATGTTCCGGATTTTTCCCCAAAAGCACATTACGGAGTCATATTAATAATTGCAAAGGCAGCGATCATAAGAAAGGAACTCGTGACTGGCTTAAACAAGGTCGCTCCAAAACCGGCTTCATCCATAAAAGTGCAAATGACGTTGTGCGCACAAAAAAAATGCCCGTTTTAAATGATGATCCTATTTCTAGAAATCTTATATATGATGAATTGATTGTTTTATTCGCAAACGCAGAATCTATGAAGCACGGCGAACTTCAGTACGATATGATCAGAGCAAACATGAGATTGCTCAGCAGACTTTTACATGAAATAAAAAAATCAGAATTAAATGAGAGACTGGAACTTAAAGACGCCATTAATCCCAAACATTTGGATTTGATGATATCTTGTATCAGAAAAGTGGCTCAGTGGGACTCTTCTTCGTTGTTTTTTAAAACACCTTCAGTTGCAACGAACCTTACAACTCTAATTAAAAAGTGCGCAAAAATATTGTGGACTCATTGCATTAAAACACAGAATCATGCAAAAAAAAATTCATTAAAGATTTTCTTGTTCTATGGGAAACCAAAATTCCTCTTTTTATAAACAAAAAAGCTATAGAGGACCAGTCAAAGAAAAAAAGAGCCCTACCAACTATTTTACCATGTAAAGAAGACATCAAAAAACTGTTTGATTATGTGATAAAAAAATCGGAAAGCGCTCTGAGTGTGCTAAAAGTTAAGTTTGATTTTTTTTCATGGACATCGTTGATACAAAGCACACTAATTGGCCTTCCAATTTTTAACCGCCGTAGAGCCGGTGAATTTGAAAGACTAACAATTGAGAACTATCTAACAGGGCATGCCATGGATGAAAATGTAGATAACGAAAACTTCGAACGTCTCACGAAAGAAACTAGAGAAATCGCTCAAAAATACACAAGATTGACTGTTCGTGGAAAACTCAATCGAACTGTGCCAGTGCTGCTCACACCGTTTGACAAGTATTGTATAGAAACTATTCTCAAGCATCGTAAAAGAGCTGGAGTTAAAAAAAAAATAATGATTACATATTTAGCGTGCCTAACGCCAAGCCCTTAGCAAATCAATATGTAAGGGCTTGTCCGATTCTGAAAAAATTTGCCCAGGAATGTGGGGCTCGCTGCCCAGGGGCTTTACGGGGAACGATGCTTCGAAAGCATTTAGCTACCTATACATCGATGTTTAACGTCAAAGATGTCCAAATTGATAGGCATCATAAAGATATACATAAAGAAATCTACAGAATCCCTGTAACAGTAGCGGAGATAGCCGAAGTATCCCAGATGCTTATGGCAGCTCTTGTAAATAATGTTGAGGATGAAAACACTGTAGCCCTTGATCAGTTCGAAGAAAGTAAGTACATAGATTCATCAAGTTTGTGGGTGATACTAAGAGTAGTTATGGTGAAAAATGTAATATCTTAACTTAACTAATAATTACTTGTCGGGCTTATTGTGAATGTTTTTACATTGTACCTGAAATCCATTTTGCAAATGATCCTTTAGAGGATTCGGAATCAGATTATTCTGAACAGCGATCAGAAAGCGACTTCAATATTTCCGATGATGACATTGTAGAAAAATCGAATAAAAAAGGGAAGCGCCCAAGTAGTAAGTATTAAATTGCAACCTACATATTTATGTCACGTGCTTACATGCATTGCGTTTAGGCTATCCTATTTATCCTCATGGACAAAGTAAAAAGAGTTATCGTGCTTGTGAAATATCCGATCGTCTGTTCAAACGAACGCGATATTTTGCTGGCCCATTAAAGTTATATCAACGAGAAGTAAAGTGCTAAGATTATATAATGACGACCACTGCGGCGTGGTAAATCGCAAAAATCGTCCTAAATAACAAACCTTATACAATCATAGAGATTGACTAACTTTTAGTTGAAGACGAAGATGTTTAACTGGGTGCGTGGCAAATGTTTAAAATTAATATCACCTAATAAATTGTTTTGGTAGGCTTTATTAAGCTGTTATTGGTCTGTGATTGAGTATTGCGACGGTTGCAACCGACTGCGACGCTTCTAATTGATTTTTATTTATTACTAAAACGTTAATCTTTTGCACACTAAATTATATTAAACTTTATTATTTAACAGAATCATCATTTGGAAAAACCATAAGAAACCGTTGGTCGAATGAAGAGCGTGAAGAAATATACCAGGCTTTTGGAGACCTGTTGTCTCTTAAAGGATTGCCGTCGCTTAAGCAATGCAACGCAGTTATAAATAATTCTACATATCTAAAATGTAGGACACCGGCGCAAGTAAAAACATGGATAATCAGCGCAAGGCTAAATCAAGAAAATCAACTCCGCAAATACATTAAATAATGAATATGTTGACCATATTTAGAACTAAATTGACTATACTTTTTCGTATTTTTTTATGTTAATATTAATTTATGCTAAGAATATTTTGAATTTGTTAAAAATGCATACTATAAATGTATTTAATAACGTCATTTATGTAAATTTTTATTCAGTGAAAGGCTGGCTTAGTTGAAATTAAACTCAAATACTTTTTGAATGCAGTTTCAAATCATCTTAGGTTAAAGTAAAATTAACAATATGAATTTAATACAGCCTACCAGAACAATTTATTAGGTGATACTAATTTTAAACATTCGCCACGCACCCAGTTAAACATCTTCGTCTTCAACTAAAAGTTAGTCAATCTCTATGATTTTATAAGGTTTGTTATTTAGGACGATTTTTGCGATTTACCACGACGCAGTGGTCGTCATTATATAATCTTAGCACTTTACTTCTCGTCGATATAACTTTAAAGGGCCAGCAAAATATCGCGTTCGTTTGAACAGACGATCGGACATTTCACAAGCACGATATCTCTTTTTACTTTGTCAATGAGGATAAATAGTATAGCCTAAACGCGATGCATGTAAGCACGTGACATAAATATGTAGGTTGCAATTTAATACTTACTACTTGGGCGCTTTCCTTTTTTGTTCGATTTTTCTACAATTTCATCATCGGAAATATTGAAGTCGCTTTCTGATCGCTGTTCAGAATAATCTGATTCCGAATCCTCTAAAGGATCATTTGCAAAATGGATTTCAGGTACAATGTAAAAACATTCACAATAAGCCGGACAAGTAATTATTAGTTAAGTTAAGATATTACATTTTTTCACCATAACTACTCTTAGTATCACCCACAAACTTGATGAATCTATGTACTTACTTTCTTCGAACTGATCAAGGGCTACTGTTACAGGGATTCTGTAGATTTCTTTATGTATATCTTTATGATGACCCATAAAATTGGCAAGCCTATCAATTTGGAAATCTTTGACGTTAAGCATCGATGTATAGGTAGCTAAATGCTTTCGAAGCATCGTTCCCCGTAAAGCCCCTGGGCAGCGAGGCCCACATTCCTGGGCAAATTTCTGTAGAATCGGACAAGCCCTTACATATTGCTTTGCTAAGGGCTTGGCGTTAGGCACGCTAAATATGTTATCATTATTTTTTTTAACACCAGCTCTTTTACGATGTTTGAGAATAGTTTCTATACAATAATTGTCAAACGGTGTGAGCAGCACTGGCACAGTTCGATTGAGTTTTCCACGAATAGTCAATCTTGTGTATTTTTGAGCGATTTCTCTAGTTTCTTTAAAAAATCAAACTTAATTTTTAGCACACTCAGAGTGCTTTCCGATTTTTTTATCACATAATCAAACAGTTTTTTGATGTCTTCTTTACATGGTAAAATAGTTGGTAGGGCTCTTTTTTTCTTTGACTGGTCCTCTATAGCTTTTTTGTTTATAAAAAGAGGAATTTCGGTTTCCCATAGAACAAGAAAATCTTTAATTAATTTTTTTTTGCATGATTTTGTGTTTTAATGCAATGAGTCCACAATATTTTTGCGCACTTTTTAATTAGAGTTGTAAGGTTCGTTGCAACTGAAGGTGTTTTAAAAAACATCGAAGAAGAGTCCCACTGAGCCACTTTTCTGATACAAGATATCATCAAATCCAAATGTTTGGGATTAATGGCGTCTATAAGTTCCTGTATCTCATTAGATTCTGATTTTTTTATTTCATGTAAAAGTCTGCTGAGCAATCTCATGTTTGCTCTGATCATATCGTACTGAAGTTCGCCGTGCTTCATAGATTCTGCGTTTGCGAATAAAACAATCAATTCATCATATATAAGATTTCTAGAAATGGGATCATCATTTAAAACAGGCATTATTTTTGTGCGCACAACGTCATTTGCACTTTTATGGATGAAGCCGTTTTGAAGCAAGTTTTGGAGCGACCTTGTTTAAGCAAGTCACGAGTTCCTTTCTTATGATCGCTCCCTTTGCAATTATTAATATGACTCCGTATTGTGCTTTTGGGGAAAAATCCGGAACATTCCTTGCCACATATGAAATCAACCGCTTCGTTTTTAGAGTTTACACGCTTTTGACGAGGCACGATTAGAGTTCCGTTATTTAACGATGCATCGATATAATGGATATAATCACCATTTTTCCTAATCTCATCAATAAGTAATCTGCGAGTTTTGTCATTTTTCGACAGGAACAAACATTTTTGTACTTGCAGCTCATTTTTATGAACAATCTGCAAGTGACGAGCAAATTTTGTTTGCAATTTATTGCAAAATAAGCAAAAATGTTTCTTACAATTTGTTTGGGTTTTAAAAAAGGGTTGTGTAAGAAAAAACTTGTTTAATGTTGGAATTATTTAAAATGCTGGACCGGTTAGTTATATCCGGAGCATAACTGGAATCGAATCCTTGCGTGGAATCTGGACAATTAGTATTAAGCGATTGAAATGAATCGTTTATCGTGGAATGATTTTGATTTTTTGCCGATGAATCTATCCTATCCTAAAGATCCACTATTAGCCGATGTATTTTGAGTTGTGTTTATAAATTGTTCGGATGCATCTTTTTGAATATATTTAATAATAGATAAAAAGGAATCTATTTTAATTATTAATGGACGTAATTCAATATTTTAAGTAAATATTTTGTATTCAATATAGTAGCACTAGGAGCAGTGCCATATACATATTTAAGAACATTTATTTTGCTTAACTTTCAGACCTTTAAGGATATGGCATAGTGTATACCTCCACTTCAGTTGCAGTTAATTGGCATTTGCTATGATCATTCGGATGTGTCTCTATTGCATCTTATATTTTAATACAATCATTTTTATATAACGTTAAGCAGCATGAATGTTGTTAAAAAATGTATCTCTGTACTGATCATGATAAGGATTAAATTTATATATATAAAAAAAAATGTATTTATACTTTTCATTACCTTTGTTAGAAATATATAAATATAAGACGAGCACAAGACAGTTGAAACGAACACAAACTAGCTGGAATAAACACGAATCAGTTAACAAAATAAAATTTGAGTAACATCAAGTATATAAAAATAGCCTTAGTAAATAAATAAAAAAATTAACAAAAACGGTTTAAATACGTCAGGAGGCATATAGCTTGCAAGAGAACGTCACTTGCACTTTTATGCATAGAGCCGGTTTTAGAGCGACCTTGCTTAAGCAAGTCAGGAGTTCCTTTCTTATGATCGCCGCCTATGCAATTATTTATATGACTGCGTATTGCACTTTTGGGGAAAAAATCCAGAACATCCCTTGCAACATATGACAACATATTCGTTTTTAGAGTTAATTAGCTTTAAAATTTCGTTATTTAACGATGCATCGATATTGTCGATTTAATCGCCATTACTCCAAATCTCATTAATAACTACTTTTCGAGTTTTGTCATTTTTCGACAGGCATTAACACTTTTTTACTTGTGGCTTATTATTATGGAAGTGACGAACGAATTTTGATTGCAATTTATTACAAAACAAGCAAAAAAAAGTTTTCACAATTAGGAATAATCAAATCCCTTATATCACTTAGTGGAGTTACATTAACTTGGAAGTATATAAGTGCTGGACTGATTAGTTATATCCGGAGTATAGTTGGAATCGACTCCTTGAATAGAATATGGAAAATTACCAAGCGATTTAAATGTATAAAATGCTTATGCTGGGGAATCTAGCCATTTAGAGGCCAGTCTTTGTCTATTATGTTAAGGTATAAGTATTTTATTAATACATTTATTTATTTTACATGTTAATATAAGACGGGCACAAGACACCTGAAACGAACACAAAATAGCTGGAACGAACACAAATTAGGGAACAATCCAAAAGGCGAGTATTATCAGTATACAATGTTAGCTTTAGTTAAAATACAAATTAGCAAAAACTGTTTGAATACTAAAAAAGGTTTGTACGTCCGGAGGCATATAGCGTACAAGAGAATACACTATTCCTAGAAAAGTAATGACCGATTGTGTCTTTTGTGTAGCTTTTTATAATAAATTAATCTGATTTTGCATATGTGATTAACTCATAATACAAATGATAATTAAATTGTTTTCAACACTAATAAGGCTATAAATCTTTTGATATTTTCCGACTCTGGCCTTAAAACTGTGGTACTCACAATTATGCATATTTAAAACTTAACATATAATAATAAATACATTACAAAACATAACTCTGTCAGAAGTGTAATGCAAATGATTTTTTATTTAGTCCTGGCTTAGTTTTAATAATTGCACACATACCGAAAGCTTCAAATTGTCCCAGGTTGCTTTTATTTGTTGTGTCAGTATTTGACTTATAAGCTGCTAATGGCTCCTCTTTTAAAAGACAATGCTCATTAATTTATTTCAAAGGCACATTAGTATTGTATTTACCGGATTTATCATCGTTCGTTGTTGCTTCACTTTCATTTAACTTAGTATCTGCTTCTAGTAAGTCTATAAATATTTAATGTATTATTAATTATAATTTAAATTAAAAAACGATTATTGCATTGCCTATGTACATATGTATATAGACTATTGTATAAATATGCATATGCGAAAATGACAAAACTGTTATTGATTTATGTACATACCCTTATTAAGTTATTGACATTGCTGGTCCAGTATTTCACGATCTTCTAATGAAATAAAAGTACATATACAGACAAATATAATTATTGAAATGTCAAGCTCAACTTACCTCGCGAATCAATAATCTCCGCTTCGAAACTGCCTTTGCTAAATTTTGCAATGCACATTTTACTTCCTTCCACTATTTTAATTTTTTTTTATGCAATACATAATATTGCTCGCACTTAATTAAGAAATACATCCTCTCGCAGTTTCCAGAAATTTAATGGCGCCAAGTTTTCGAGATACGCGACGAGCAAGTCAAGTCATTTCTTCAAATGTACTTTTAAGGCAGCTCAGCACTATCAAATTGAATACTCGAAACGCGTTCATTTTGCTTGCGTTATGGTAAAAACTAGTCGATATTTATGCAATTAAAATGAAGATGTGAGAGAGATATTAAATTGATGATGGATTGTAAAAATGAAAGCGGTCAAATAGAATAACTGTTATGAGGAAATAACTGTTTTTATTGGATTACGAGAAGAAAATAAATTTTATACTTGATGCATTATTATTAAACACTAAATGTTCCTTAATTTAACTAAGGTAATAAAAATGTTTTTTAATATAAAATATTTGTTAATGCCTGCGGTGGGTTTGAATGAAACAGGTAGATCGCACTTGTCGCTCGTTTGCACTTTGATATGGAAAAAATGCAATAAATCTTTTATTGGCATTATTATAATCTTAGGTTAAAGGGTTTTATGACAGGCAATTAACGATCAGAATGTATAGCATGCGTCTGGATCCATACCATTTTCATTGCCTTTTTATACATTTGTGCCTTTTACGGCTGCAAGCCCACCGCAGGCATGCCAAAAAAAGTGCCTATTGCTACCACAGGCACAAAAGGCACACAATTGAAGAAATAACCTCTGCTTCGCGACAAACGCCGCGATCTACTTGTGCGCACATCCACACAACACAAACGTATGAATGTTTGTAGATCTCGGGGTTTTGTGGGAAGCTATGCAGGGAGAAAGAGATGGATGCAAGTGCGCGAGCAATTAGTGAGAGCGAGGCACATGCATACACATATATGTTTTTGGGCTGTAAGGATTTAAAAATGGCACACACACATATTTTAAGAAAACGCATCACCCGCGACGTTGTGCGCTGAGCGAGATGCGGCTTCTTACTGAACGTTCGGCTTTTGAGGCCGGCGTTCGGCTGCCACTCTCAGCAGTCTTACTCTGTCTGGGTACACTAAAATAGTCGCAGGTACCATTGGGGTTGCCTCGTTTCGATTTTTCTTGTTTCGATTAAAAGTGCCATTTGGTATGTCTATACATTGTATGGTTAGTGTTAAAACTAAGCCAGGACTAAATAAAAAATCATTTGTATTACACTTCTGACAGAGTTATGTTTTGTAATGTATTTATTATTATATGTTAAGTCTTAAATATGCATAATTGTGAGTACCACAGTTTTAAGGCCAGAGTCGGAAAATATCAAAAGATTTATAGCCTTATTAGTTGTTGAAAACAATTTAATTATCATTTGTATTATGAGTTAATCATATATGCAAAATCAGATTAATTTATTATAAAAAGCTACACAAAAGACACAATCGGTCATTACTTTTCTAGGAATAGTGTATTCTCTTGTACGCTATATGCCTCCGGACGTACAAACCTTTTTTAGTATTCAGAAAGTTTTTGATAATTTGTATTTTAACTAAAGCTAACATTGTATACTGATAATACTCGCCTTTTGGATTGTTACCTAATTTGTGCTAGTACCAGCTATTTTGTGTTCGTTTCAGGTGTCTTGTGCCCGTCTTATATTAACATGTAAAATAAATAAATGTATTGATAAAAAACTTATACCTTAACATAATAGACAAAGACTGGCCTCTAAATGGCTAGATTCCCCAGCATAAGCATTTTATACATTTAAATCGTTTGGTAATTTTCCACATTCTATTCAAGGAGTCGATTCCAACTATACTCCCGATATAACTAATCAGTCCAGAACTTACATACTTCCAAGTTAATGTAACTCCACTAAGTGATATAAGGGATTTGATTATTCCTAATTGTGAAAACTTTTTTTGCTTGTTTTGTAATAAATTGCAATCAAAATTCGTTCGTCACTTCCATAATAATAAGCCACAAGTAAAAAAGTGTTAATGCCTGTCGAAAAATGAAAAAACTTGAAAAGTAGTTATTAATGAGATTTGGAGTAATGGCGATTAAATCGACAATATCGATGCATCGTTAAATAGCGAAATTTTAAAGCGAATTAACTCTAAAAACGAATATGTTGTCATATGTTGCAAGGGATGTTCTGGATTTTTTCCCCAAAAGTACAATACGCAGTCATATAAATAATTGCATAGGCGGCGATCATAAGAAAGGAACTCCTGACTTGCTTAAGCAAGGTCGCTCTAAAACCGGCTCTATGCATAAAAGTGCAAGTGACGTTCTCTTGCAAGCTATATGCCTCCTGACGTATTTAAACCGTTTTTGTTAATTTTTTTATTTATTTACTAAGGCTATTTTTATATACTTGATGTTACTCAAATTTTATTTTGTTAACTGATTCGTGTTTATTCCAGCTAGTTTGTGTTCGTTTCAACTGTCTTGTGCTCGTCTTATATTTATATATTTCTAACAAAGGTAATGAAAAGTATAAATACATTTTTTTTTATATATATAAATTTAATCCTTATCATGATCAGTACAGAGATACATTTTTTAACAACATTCATGCTGCTTAACGTTATATAAAAATGATTGTATTAAAATATAAGATGCAATAGAGACACATCCGAATGATCATAGCAAATGCCAATTAACTGCAACTGAAGTGGAGGTATACACTATGCCATATCCTTAAAGGTCTGAAAGTTAAGCAAAATAAATGTTCTTAAATATGTATATGGCACTGCTCCTAGTGCTACTATATTGAATACAAAATATTTACTTAAAATATTGAATTACGTCCATTAATAATTAAAATAGATTCCTTTTTATCTATTATTAAATATATTCAAAAAGATGCATCCGAACAATTTATAAACACAACTCAAAATACATCGGCTAATAGTGGATCTTTAGGATAGGATAGATTCATCGGCAAAAAATCAAAATCATTCCACGATAAACGATTCATTTCAATCGCTTAATACTAATTGTCCAGATTCCACGCAAGGATTCGATTCCAGTTATGCTCCGGATATAACTAACCGGTCCAGCATTTTAAATAATTCCAACATTAAACAAGTTTTTTCTTACACAACCCTTTTTTAAAACCCAAACAAATTGTAAGAAACATTTTTGCTTATTTTGCAATAAATTGCAAACAAAATTTGCTCGTCACTTGCAGATTGTTCATAAAAATGAGCTGCAAGTACAAAAATGTTTGTTCCTGTCGAAAAATGACAAAACTCGCAGATTACTTATTGATGAGATTAGGAAAAATGGTGATTATATCCATTATATCGATGCATCGTTAAATAACGGAACTCTAATCGTGCCTCGTCAAAAGCGTGTAAACTCTAAAAACGAAGCGGTTGATTTCATATGTGGCAAGGAATGTTCCGGATTTTTCCCCAAAAGCACAATACGGAGTCATATTAATAATTGCAAAGGGAGCGATCATAAGAAAGGAACTCGTGACTTGCTTAAACAAGGTCGCTCCAAAACTTGCTTCAAAACGGCTTCATCCATAAAAGTGCAAATGACGTTGTGCGCACAAAAATAATGCCTGTTTTAAATGATGATCCCATTTCTAGAAATCTTATATATGATGAATTGATTGTTTTATTCGCAAACGCAGAATCTATGAAGCACGGCGAACTTCAGTACGATATGATCAGAGCAAACATGAGATTGCTCAGCAGACTTTTACATGAAATAAAAAAATCAGAATCTAATGAGATACAGGAACTTATAGACGCCATTAATCCCAAACATTTGGATTTGATGATATCTTGTATCAGAAAAGTGGCTCAGTGGGACTCTTCTTCGATGTTTTTTAAAACACCTTCAGTTGCAACGAACCTTACAACTCTAATTAAAAAGTGCGCAAAAATATTGTGGACTCATTGCATTAAAACACAAAATCATGCAAAAAAAAATTAATTAAAGATTTTCTTGTTCTATGGGAAACCGAAATTCCTCTTTTTATAAACAAAAAAGCTATAGAGGACCAGTCAAAGAAAAAAAGAGCCCTACCAACTATTTTACCATGTAAAGAAGACATCAAAAAACTGTTTGATTATGTGATAAAAAAATCGGAAAGCGCTCTGAGTGTGCTAAAAATTAAGTTTGATTTTTTATCATGGACATCGTTGATACAAAGCACACTAATTGGCCTTCAAATTTTTAACCGCCGTAGAGCCGGTGAATTTGAAAGACTAACAATTGAGAACTATCTAACAGGGCACACCATCGATGAAAATGTAGATAAATAAAACTTCGAACGTCTCACGAAAGAAACTAGAGAAATCGCTCAAAAATACACAAGATTGACTATTCGTGGAAAACTCAATCGAACTGTGCCAGTGCTGCTCACACCGTTTGACAATTATTGTATAGAAACTATTCTCAAACATCGTAAAAGAGCTGGTGTTAAAAAAAATAATGATAACATATTTAGCGTGCCTAACGCCAAGCCCTTAGCAAAGCAATATGTAAGGGCTTGTCCGATTCTACAGAAATTTGCCCAGGAATGTGGGCCTCGCTGCCCAGGGGCTTTACGGGGAACGATGCTTCGAAAGCATTTAGCTACCTATACATCGATGCTTAACGTCAAAGATTTCCAAATTGATAGGCTTGCCAATTTTATGGGTCATCATAAAGATATACATAAAGAAATCTACAGAATCCCTGTAACAGTAGCGGAGATAGCCGAAGTATCCCAGATGCTTATGGCAGCTCTTGGAAATAATGTTGAGGATGAAAACACAGTAGCCCTTGATCAGTTCGAAGAAAGTAAGTACATAGATTCATCAAGTTTGTGGGTGATACTAAGAGTAGTTATGGTGAAAAATGTAATATCTTAACTTAACTAATAATTACTTGTCCGGCTTATTGTGAATGTTTTTACATTGTACCTGAAATCCATTTTGCAAATGATCCTTTAGAGGATTCGGAATCAGATTATTCTGAACAGCGATCAGAAAGCGACTTCAATATTTCCGATGATGACATTATAGAAATATCGAATAAAAAAGGAAAGCGCCCAAGTAGTAAGTATTAAATTGCAACCTACATATTTATGTCACGTGCTTACATGCATTGCGTTTAGGCTATCCTATTTATCCTCATGGACAAAGTAAAAAGAGTTATCGTGCTTGTGAAATGTCCGATCGTCTGTTCAAACGAACGCGATATTTTGCTGGCCCATTAAAGTTATATCAACGAGAAGTAAAGTGCTAAAATTATATAATGACGACTACTGCGGCGTGGTAAATGGCAAAAATATATATATATATATATTATACTTTATATATTATATTAAACTTTATTATTTAACAGGATCATCATTTGGAAAAACCATAAGAAACCGTTGGTCGAATGAAGAGCGTGAAGAAATATACCAGGCTTTTGGAGACCTGTTGTCTCTTAAAGGATTGCCGTCGCTTAAGCAATGCAACGCAGTTATAAATAATTCTACATATCTAAAATGTAGGACACCGGCGCAAGTAAAAACATGGATAGATAATCAGCGCAAGGCTAAATCAAGAAAATCAACTCCGCAAACAGATTGAATAATGAGCATGTTGACCATATTTAGAACTAACTTGACTATACTTTTTCGTATTTTTTTATGTTAATATTAATTTATGCTAAGAATATTTGGAATTTGTAAAAATGCGTAATATAAATGTATTTAATAACGTCATTTATGTAAATTCATATTGTTAATTTTACTTTAACCTAAGATGATTTGAAACTGCATTCAAAATGTATTTGAGTTTAATTTCAACTAAGCCAGCCTGGCACTGAATTTAAAATGTATAGATTTAATAAAATATTGCTGAGTTTTATGGGCGTTACACTTACATTCGAGTTTTGTTGTATTTCACCGTTCCTGTGTCCTCATACCCTCTATATAATCGCTATATATATAAAATATTTGCATCTTCCTCAGTATGTTATTTGAGGACAGCCATTTGATTTTTATTTACTAAATTGGGGTGTGAACTGGACCAAATCTCATCGTTCCTGTGTCCTTATAATACACTTTGCTTATCCAAAAATATCTGCATCTGGCAACCCCGCGTACATTATTCGGAAACTTTTTATGTTATATACTGAGAGTATTTCGAGAACCGAGTCCTCATAAAGTACGTTGGATGTTTGGCACCCTAAGCTGTGGTGTTTCACTTCGTGGAGATGCCACATCGACCAAATGAGGATATAAACATTTTAGTAAAAAACATATTTTTGGGACAACTAGAGTTCAAATTGTGTTTTATTCTTTTTAAATAATCAAATATATTCAAAATAACTCTAATCGGATTGCATCGTAGTTAAGCAGATGTCAGAAAATGCATTTAAAATCTATGTTCCCGAAAAATCCTCTCAGCATAAAGTAGACCAACTTTAAGATAATATAAACATTTTATTATTTGACGTACAGGCAAAGTGTTGATTGGATAATGTTAAGAAAATGTACCGTTTTTTTTATTAATCCTAAGGTTTCCTCTAAGAATTGTGTCTTATGGAGAATTTTGAAAAGTCCCCAATGTAGACATTTAAGTCCAAAAAATGTTGAGGTCTGACTCCAAAATAGCCAATTGTCCCTATAAACAACGCAGCATATAAAAAAAGTCCTGATTTTGGACGCTCCATATATATACATATATATATATATATATATATATATATATTGCCTTAAGTATATTGTGTATATGAATATTGTTGCATGTTATACGCTCTCCTCAATAATAATTGAAGTTTTAATTTAGGTATGCGTATATATATATTTTATATATTCCTTCATCCGTCAATTCCATAATTTCATATATATATAAATATATATATATATATACATCAATATGGCCTTAAGTATTGTATATATATATATATATATATATATATATATATATATATATATATATATATATATATTATTCTATGTTATATGCTCTCCTCAATAATTATTGAAGTTTTAATATAGATATTGTGTAAATATATTTTTATATATTCCATCCGTCAAATTCCATATTTTCATAAATATATTTATCAATGTTGTTTTAAGTATTTAAGTATATATTTTGTTCTATGCTAAGTATAAAATATTTGAAAGCAACGTAGATGAACAAATTTCGTACAGTAGGCATACAAACATCAATTAATATATATCAATTATAAATTGATAATATATTTTAAGCGAATGTATAACCCAATTATACGAATTATGTTCGTCTAGTGTTACTTTTTTTCGAATCATCAAGCAAAGGACAAGCTTCAGTGGATCGCAGTATGGCAGCTGCTCAACCACTTACAACACCTTGCCTGTTACAAAAGCCGTTTACTATTGATTCTAGGCTTTGACATTGTATTAAATAATGTTTTAAAATATAACTAGCGCGGCATCAGGTGATCGAAGATCCTCCTAATATACTATGTTATAAATAACATTGGCATCACATCCATTGTCGTTAATAAAACAAATTAAAAACTTTTAATGGTTAAGAAGCCATACAATGCAAATTGCTCCTTATTTATCATTGCAGTCCAGCACGGATGCGACCTTAGAGGCGTTCAGGCATAATCCAACGGACGTAGCGTCATACCACTGTTCGCTCGAACAAGTATTGTGCCATTGGTCCGCACCTGCGGTTCCTCTCGTACTACGCGGGAATGCTGTAAAACTAACCTGTCTCACGACGGTCTAAACCCAGCTCACGTTCCCTTGCATGGGTGAACAATCCAACGCTTGGTGAATTTTGCTTCACAATGATAGGAAGAGCCGACATCGAAGGATCAAAAAGCGACGTCGCTATGAACGCTTGGCCGCCACAAGCCAGTTATCCCTATGGTAACTTTTCTGACACCTCTTGGTAAAAACTCTTTAAGCCAAAAGGATCGATAGGCCGAGCTTCTGCTGTCCCTGTGTGTACTGAACACCGAGATCAAGTCAGCATTTGCCCTTTTGCTCTATGTGTGGTTTCTGTCCGCACTGAGCTGGCCTTGGGACACCTCCGTTATTATTTGAGAGATGTACCGCCCCAGTCATACTCCCTACCTGGCAATGTCCTTGAATTGGATCATACCTGAGTAATTAGAGTTATACCAAATTTTTAAATCAATAATACATAAATGCATTCTCTCATTAAAGAATTTGTTTGCGATTATATAACAAACTCGTGATTCTTTGATCAAGAAGCTTGCATCAAAACCCAATACCATAAGACATAATAATTATATCCGTATAATGGGTAGGAAATGATACACGTTCCATTTAATCAAGTAAGTAAGGAAACAATAAGAGTAGTGGTATTTCATTGTCGATACCAAACCGAAGTCTAATATCTCCCACTTATTCTACACCTCTTATGTCTCCTTACACTGCCAGATTAGAGTCAACATCAAAATGGTCTTCTTTCCCCGCTAATTATTCCAAACCCGTTCCCTTGGCTGTGGTTTCGCTAGATCGTAGATAGGGACGTAACAAAACATATTTGTTTAACGTGGCGTGTACCCCGTAGGGGTTTAGTACCACGGTATTCGAAATACAGCGAGCCGAAACAAAGCGTCGGACTTGCGCCCCTCCAAGACACTGTATGTGAGTGCCCCTTCGGTACCAAATTGAATGCATGCTTATTGAACATGACATTCCCCCTTGGGAGGTGAGGTCTATCTATACCTCCGCTAGTCTTTGGGTACAGCACCCGGTTGGGTATCGAACCACAATTGGGTATCGAACCACAGCCACCACGATACTCCCCGAAGAGCCACACCAACTAACCAGGACGGAACGAGTTCCATGGGCTCCCGGTTACCCGTAGTACCAAATTACAGCTTTGGTCGGCAGTTCGTAGCAATTGCCACTTCCCAGTTTTGTTGACGACAAACACGGAATGGGTCATCCAATGTTCGACTCACCCCAAATTGGGATTTGTCTACAATATTAAGCTCTGTTCGGCTTCGTGACACGGTCCATGACACTCCCAGTTTTGACTAACGTCAGCCCGGCACTGGTCGGCCCTGTGTGGTTGCACTTCACGCATTGACATGCGGGCGTTGCATTCAAACTTCTCTGATGCAGAAATGCATTTAGTGACCCGTGGGCCGTCAGCAAGAATCCATGCGTCCGGGATAAACTGATGATAAACGGTCGACCATGCTCATCACTATCTCATCTCCGTTGCCACTCGGAGCACATGCCCTCGTCCAGCAACGCCTTCATCCGCCTCTGGTCTAGATTTGCCACATCTAGACCGAACAGCCAGTCACTATCCTCCAACGGGTGGGCACGCTTGACCTTGAATCTGATTGCCAATTGCTTGGCAACCAAATCCAACGGCGGAGCTCCAGCAAGCACCTGCAGTGCCACGGTGGACACTGTACGGCATACCGGTAGGCATCCTAAGAGCATGACTCTTTGGCAGAAGATGAGGCGCCTCCTGGCCCCCGACTCTCCCCTGACCACGGAATACCATACCGAGGCACCAAACAGTGCGCAAGGCACCATGAGTCCGGCATATACAGTGCGTCTGGCTAAGGGACTGAGGCCCCAGTCAACCCGTAGCACGCGGCCTAATGCTCCGACGACTCCAGTCAGTTTATCCCGCAATCCTGCGATATGCGGCTGAAAATTCAACCGTTCACCGACTGTGATGCCAAGGTACCGGTACTTGTCGACATATGGTAGGCTTGCTCCTGCAAACCGTACCACGGGCGGCCTGGAAACGGCAAAACGCTCCTTCAACATCATCATTGCCGTCTTACTGGTTGAGATCGACACTCCGACCTCGGCTCATCAAGCTCCCACGACGGACAGTAGCTCAGCTGCTCGACGCTCCAGTTCAGCTCTCGATCTTCCCTCGACTAGAACCAGCAGGTCATCGGCATATGCACTAAATGTGCACAAGGGCTTCAGGCGTTGGAGCAGGAAATCCATCATGGTGTTCCAGATGAACGGCCCACTGATGGATTCCTGGGGACACCCTCGCTGACCTCCACCTCGACTTCGCCACATCTGCTGGTCATCCTGGCTTTCCTGCCACAGAAGAAGCTTCTCCACAAGCTAGCTTTCTCGCATCCCGCATCGATCAAGCGGCGCGTCGCGGCGCTCCACTCAATGTTGTCAAACGCGCCTTTAAAGTCCACGAAGAGACCAAGTACGTATACCGCCTGGCTGGCGGCAACGCTGGTCATCACGTGCTTCCAGGCGTCCTCGACACAGCGTCCAGGTCGAAAGCCAAATTGCCATCTATTTCCATCCGAAAGCACCTACTTCATTCGATCAACCATGATCCCCTCAAGCACTTTGCCAAACACTGGCAACAGGCAGATGCCCCGATAGGAAGCTGGATAGCTCCTATCCTTGTCGGACCCCTTAAGAAGCGCAACCACACGCGGGCACTTCCAATCAAGGGGAAAGTATCCTTCTGCCAGGCAGCGGGAATACAACGTTGTCAGGTGCTCGGGGATGGCACGCCATACCGCCTTGCAGATCCCACCTGTAATGCCGTGAAGCCCGGGAGAGCGCCTGGTCTTCAACCGAGCGACGCATACTCCAACCTCGAAAGCTTCGAGCGTTGGAGCAGCTTCTTCCGTAATGACGATGTCTTCACTCGACTCCTCAACTGGAAAAAATCTGTGGAGGAGGAGACTCGCGCAGTCGTGCCATGTTACGACCAGCCCGGCACCTCAAATCGGTAGACCGGTTTCGTCCCCGGCATATCCAGTAGATGTGCCCCCACGGATCGTCTCTGTGATCTGCAACGCTGCAAGATACGGTGCAGATTCATGACCTCTGCGCCGTGCATCCTGGAGCCTCCGCCTAAGTCTCCTGACCTCCCGGCGTTTGGTACTCAGTTCGGCAGTCTACCATTTAACTTTTCCCTGGGCTCTCGACGGTCCGCGGCCTAACACTCTGTCGCACACAGACTGTACGGCAAGGCGTAGGGCAGACACCGCGGTATCCAACGGCAACATCCTAATATCCTCCTGGGAAAGGTGCTCCTCGGTTTCCTCTAGCAGCTCCGAGTCGAACAATCGCCAATTAGCATTTGCGAGCTTCCAGGACGGCACAGGAGCATAGCTTTCAACTGGGGATGGCGAAGTCACAACAGTAATTATGTTGTGGTCGCTCAAATCCCACTCGTCCGAGTATCCACTCATCTAGCTGTTCGCCTCTTCTGTAGTTCAGCTGGCCACGAAAGAATTCGTGCCGTTTGCTGAACCACAAGGGAGACACAGCGTTTGCGTCCAGGCTGAGAATTACCGATGTACTGCTCGCCAGTAGCAGTATGGTATCCATATAGCTCAATATCTTTGTCAAGTCAGCATGAGCATGGCAGTATATGTTTACCTGTGACCCTCACACCAACTCCAGCCTCGGTGGTCAGCGACTCCACTGGTAGGCAGATGTCATCTGGGTCGTCGATGATGACAGCAGCGCTTCTTTTCCGATCCTCGACAGCGTGGCTTCCGAAAACGCGCATCCCGGCTGGGAAGCCCGTAATCCTTCCAACGACGTCCAAGTATGGCTTCTGCAGCAGCGCAAAGGAGTGGCCGTGGTCACGCATAAGTACACCGATATCGATGCACGCAGCGTGGCCCCGGCCACAGTTGGTTTGGATAAAACTAAACATTAATGTTTAGCTTGCACCCTCGCCAACACTGCGCCATTAATCGGGCAAGACCCCGAAGGCATATAATGCCCCGAGGGTAGCCCCTTGAATCGGCAATTCCGGCAGTCCACCGGACTTGCGCACTTGGCTGCGATATGCCCCATCTGACCACACTGTCGGCATACGTCCTGCTTAAGGCGGCACTCGGACACCTTGTGGTCGAAGCCGACACACCTATGGCAAGCATAGGTGCGGACGAGCGACCGGCATCGGTATGAAAACCACTTTATATAGACCCGTCCGTTAAGTCCTAAAGATCCACTATTAGCCGATGTATTTTGAGTTGTGTTTATAAATTGTTCGGATGCATCTTTTTGAATATATTTAATAATAGATAAAAAGGAATCTATTTTAATTATTAATGGACGTAATTCAATATTTTAAGTAAATATTTTGTATTCAATATAGTAGCACTAGGAGCAGTGCCATATACATATTTAAGAACATTTATTTTGCTTAACTTTCAGACCTTTAAGGATATGGCATAGTGTATACCTCCACTTCAGTTGCAGTTAATTGGCATTTGCTATGATCATTCGGATGCTGGTCTATTGCATCTTATATTTTAATACAATCATTTTTATATTACGTTAAGCAGCATGAATGTTGTTAAAAAAATGTATATCTGTACTGATCATGATAAGGATTTTATTTTTATATATAAAAAAAATGTATTTATACTTTTCATTACCTTTGTTAGAAATATATAAATATAAGACGAGCACAAGACAGTTGAAACGAACACAAACTAGCTGGAATGAACACGAATCAGTTAACAAAATAAAATTTGAGTAATATCAAGTACATAAAAATAGCTTTAGTAAATAAATAAAAATATTACTAAAAACGGTTTAAATACGTCAGGAGGCATATAGCTTACAAGAGAACGTCACTTGCACTTTTATGCATAGAGCCGGTTTTAGAGCGACCTTGCTTAAGCAAGTCAGGAGTACTTTTCTTATGATCGCCGCCTATGCAATTATTTATATGACTGCGTATTGTACTTTTGGGGAAAAAATCCAGAACATCCCTTGCAACATATGACAACATATTCGTTTTTAGAGTTAATTCGCTTTAAAATTTCGTTATTTAACGATGCATCGATATTGTCGATTTAATCGCCATTACTCCAAATCTCATTAATAACTACTTTTCGAGTTTTGTCATTTTTCGACAGGCATAAACACTTTTTTACTTGTGGCTTATTATTATGCAAGTGACGAACGAATTTTGATTGCAATTTATTACAAAACAAGCAAAAAAAAGTTTTCACAATTAGGAATAATCAAATCCCTTATATCACTTAGTGGAGTTACATTGTGTAAGTTAAACTTGGAAGTATATAAGTGCTGGACTGATTAGTTATATCCGGAGTATAGTTGGAATCGACTCCTTGAATAGAATATGGAAAATTACCAAGCGATTTAAATGTATAAAATGCTTATGCTGGGGAATCTAGCCATTTAGAGGCCAGTCTTTGTCTATTATGTTAAGGTATAAGTATTTTATTAATACATTTATTTATTTTACATGTTAATATAAGACGGGCACAAGACACCTGAAACGAACACAAAATAGCTGGAACGAACACAAATTAGGGAACAATCCAAAAGGCGAGTATTATCAGTATACAATGTTAGCTTTAGTTAAAATACAAATTAGCAAAAACTGTTTGAATACTAAAAAAGGTTTGTACGTCCGGAGGCATATAGCGTACAAGAGAATACACTATTCCTAGAAAAGTAATGACCGATTGTGTCTTTTGTGTAGCTTTTTATAATAAATTAATCTGATTTTGCATATGTGATTAACTCATAATACAAATGATAATTAAATTGTTTTCAACACTAATAAGGCTATAAATCTTTTGATATTTTCCGACTCTGGCCTTAAAACTGTGGTACTCACAATTATGCATATTTAAAACTTAACATATAATAATAAATACATTACAAAACATAACTCTGTCAGAAGTGTAATGCAAATGATTTTTTATTTAGTCCTGGCTTAGTTTTAATAATTGCACACATACCGAAAGCTTCAAATTGTCCCAGGTTGCTTTTATTTGTTGTGTCAGTATTTGACTTATAAGCTGCTAATGGCTCCTCTTTTAAAAGACAATGCTCATTAATTTATTTCAAAGGCACATTAGTATTGTACTTACCGGATTTATCATCGTTCGTTGTTGCTTCACTTTCATTTAACTTAGTATCTGCTTCTAGTAAGTCTATAAATATTTAATGTATTATTAATTATAATTTAAATTAAAAAACGATTATTGCATTGCCTATGTACATATGTATATAGACTATTGTATAAATATGCATATGCGAAAATGACAAAACTGTTATTGATTTATGTACATACCCTTATTAAGTTATTGACATTGCTGGTCCAGTATTTCACGATCTTCTAATGAAATAAAAGTACATATACAGACAAATATAATTATTGAAATGTCAAGCTCAACTTACCTCGCGAATCAATAATCTCCGCTTCGAAACTGCCTTTGCTAAATTTTGCAATGCACATTTTACTTCCTTCCACTATTTTAATTTTTTTTTATGCAATACATAATATTGCTCGCACTTAATTAAGAAATACATCCTCTCGCAGTTTCCAGAAATTTAATGGCGCCAAGTTTTCGAGATACGCGACGAGCAAGTCAAGTCATTTCTTCAAATGTACTTTTAAGGCAGCTCAGCACTATCAAATTGAATACTCGAAACGCGTTCATTTTGCTTGCGTTATGGTAAAAACTAGTCGATATTTATGCAATTAAAATGAAGATGTGAGAGAGATATTAAATTGATGATGGATTGTAAAAATGAAAGCGGTCAAATAGAATAACTGTTATGAGGAAATAACTGTTTTTATTGGATTACGAGAAGAAAATAAATTTTATACTTGATGCATTATTATTAAACACTAAATGTTCCTTAATTTAACTAAGGTAATAAAAATGTTTTTTAATATAAAATATTTGTTAATGCCTGCGGTGGGTTTGAATGAAACAGGTAGATCGCACTTGTCGCTCGTTTGCACTTTGATATGGAAAAAATGCAATAAATCTTTTATTGGCATTATTATAATCTTAGGTTAAAGGGTTTTATGACAGGCAATTAACGATCAGAATGTATAGCATGCGTCTGGATCCATACCATTTTCATTGCCTTTTTATACATTTGTGCCTTTTACGGCTGCAAGCCCACCGCAGGCATGCCAAAAAAAGTGCCTATTGCTACCACAGGCACAAAAGGCACACAATTGAAGAAATAACCTCTGCTTCGCGACAAACGCCGCGATCTACTTGTGCGCACATCCACACAACACAAACGTATGAATGTTTGTAGATCTCGGGGTTTTGTGGGAAGCTATGCAGGGAGAAAGAGATGGATGCAAGTGCGCGAGCAATTAGTGAGAGCGAGGCACATGCATACACATATATGTTTTTGGGCTGTAAGGATTTAAAAATGGCACACACACATATTTTAAGAAAACGCATCACCCGCGACGTTGTGCGCTGAGCGAGATGCGGCTTCTTACTGAACGTTCGGCTTTTGAGGCCGGCGTTCGGCTGCCACTCTCAGCAGTCTTACTCTGTCTGGGTACACTAAAATAGTCGCAGGTACCATTGGGGTTGCCTCGTTTCGATTTTTCTTGTTTCGATTAAAAGTGCCATTTGGTATGTCTATACATTGTGTGGTTAGTGTTAAAACTAAGCCAGGACTAAATAAAAAATCATTTGTATTACACTTCTGACAGAGTTATGTTTTGTAATGTATTTATTATTATATGTTAAGTCTTAAATATGCATAATTGTGAGTACCACAGTTTTAAGGCCAGAGTCGGAAAATATCAAAAGATTTATAGCCTTATTAGTTGTTGAAAACAATTTAATTATCATTTGTATTATGAGTTACTCACATATGCAAAATAAGATCAATTTATTATAAAAAGCTACACAAAAGACACAATCGGTCATTACTTTTCTAGGAATAGTGTATTCTCTTGTACGCTATATGCCTCCGGACGTACAAACCTTTTTTAGTATTCAAACACTTTTTGCTAATTTGTATTTTAACTAAAGCTAACATTGTATACTGATAATACTCGCCTTTTGGATTGTTCCCTAATTTGTGTTCGTTCCAGCTATTTTGTGTTCGTTTCAGGTGTCTTGTGCCCGTCTTATATTAACATGTAAAATAAATAAATGTATTAATAAAATACTTATACCTTAACATAATAGACAAAGACTGGCCTCTAAATGGCTAGATTCCCCAGCATAAGCATTTTATACATTTAAATCGCTTGGTAATTTTCCATATTCTATTCAAGGAGTCGATTCCAACTATACTCCCGATATAACTAATCAGTCCAGAACTTACATACTTCCAAGTTAATGTAACTCCACTAAGTGATATAAGGGATTTGATTATTCCTAATTGTGAAAACTTTTTTTGCTTGTTTTGTAATAAATTGCAATCAAAATTCGTTCGTCACTTCCATAATAATAAGCCACAAGTAAAAAAGTGTTAATGCCTGTCGAAAAATGAAAAAACTTGAAAAGTAGTTATTAATGAGATTTGGAGTAATGGCGATTAAATCGACAATATCGATGCATCGTTAAATAGCGAAATTTTAAAGCGAATTAACTCTAAAAACGAATATGTTGTCATATGTTGCAAGGGATGTTCTGGATTTTTTCCCCAAAAGTACAATACGCAGTCATATAAATAATTGCATAGGCGGCGATCATAAGAAAGGAACTCCTGACTTGCTTAAGCAAGGTCGCTCTAAAACCGGCTCTATGCATAAAAGTGCAAGTGACGTTCTCTTGCAAGCTATATGCCTCCTGACGTATTTAAACCGTTTTTGTTAATTTTTTTATTTATTTACTAAGGCTATTTTTATATACTTGATATTACTCAAATTTTATTTTGTTAACTGATTCGTGTTCATTCCAGCTAGTTTGTGTTCGTTTCAACTGTCTTGTGCTCGTCTTATATTTATATATTTCTAACAAAGGTAATGAAAAGTATAAATACATTTTTTTTTATATATATAAATAAATTCCTTATCATGATCAGTACAGATATACATTTTTTTAACAACATTCATGCTGCTTAACGTTATATAAAAATGATTGTATTAAAATATAAGATGCAATAGAGACACATCCGAATGATCATAGCAAATGCCAATTAACTGCAACTGAAGTGGAGGTATACACTATGCCATATCCTTAAAGGTCTGAAAGTTAAGCAAAATAAATGTTCTTAAATATGTATATGGCACTGCTCCTAGTGCTTCTATATTGAATACAAAATATTTACTTAAAATATTGAATTACGTCCATTAATAATTAAAATAGATTTCTTATTATCTATTAATTATTAAATATATTCAAATAGATGCATCCGAACAATTTATAAACACAACTCAAAATGCATCGGCTAATAGTGGATCTTTAGGACTTAACGACTTTGGCTCTAATTGTTTAGATTCATCGGCAAAAAATCAAAATCATTCCACGATAAACGATTCATTTCAATCGCTTAATACTAATTGTCCAGATTCCACGCAAGGATTCGATTCCAGTTATGCTCCGGATATAACTAACCGGTCCAGCATTTTAAATAATTCCAACATTAAACAAGTTTTTTCTTACACAACTGAAACTCTACTAAGTGATGTAAGGGATTTAATTATTCCAACTGCGAAAACCCAAACAAATTGTAAGAAACATTTTTGCTTATTTTGCAATAAATTGCAAACAAAATTGGTCCCGTCACTTGCAGATTGTTCATAAAAATTAGCCGCAAGTACAACAATTTTTGTTCCTGTCGAAAAATGACAAAGCTCGTAGATTACTTATTGATGAGATATGGAAAAATGGTGATTATAATCATAATATCGATGCATCGTTAAATAACGGAACTCTAATCGTGCCTCGTCAAAAGCGTGTAAGCTCTAAGAACGAAGCGGTTGATTTCATATGTTGCAAGGGATGTTCCGGATTTTTCCCCAAAAGCACACTACGGAGTCATATTAATAATTGCAAAGGGAGCGATCATAAGAAAGGAACTCGTGACTTGCTTAAACAAGGTCGCTCCAAAACCGGCTTCATCCATAAAAGTGCAAATGACGTTGTGCGCACAAAAATAATGCCTGTTTTAAATGATGATCCCATTTCTAGAAATCTTATATATGATGAATTGATTGTTTTATTCGCAAACGCAGAATCTATGAAGCACGGCGAACTTCAGTACGATATGATCAGAGCAAACATGAGATTGCTCAGCAGACTTTTACATGAAATAAAAAAATCAGAATCTAATGAGATACAGGAACTTAAAGACGCCATTAATCCCAAACATTTGGATTTGATGATATCTTGTATCAGAAAAGTGGCTCAGTGGGACTCTTCTTCGATGTTTTTTAAAACACCTTCAGTTGCAACGAACCTTACAACTCTAATTAAAAAGTGCGCAAAAATATTGTGGACTCATTGCATTAAAACACAAAATCATGCAAAAAAAAATTAATTAAAGATTTTCTTGTTCTATGGGAAACCGAAATTCCTCTTTTTATAAACAAAAAAGCTATAGAGGACCAGTCAAAGAAAAAAAGAGCCCTACCAACTATTTTACCATGTAAAGAAGACATCAAAAAACTGTTTGATTATGTGATAAAAAAATCGGAAAGCACTCTGAGTGTGCTAAAAATTAAGTTTGATTTTTTAAAGAAACTAGAGAAATCGCTCAAAAATACACAAGATTGACTATTCGTGGAAAACTCAATCGAACTGTGCCAGTGCTGCTCACACCGTTTGACAATTATTGTATAGAAACTATTCTCAAACATCGTAAAAGAGCTGGTGTTAAAAAAAATAATGATAACATATTTAGCGTGCCTAACGCCAAGCCCTTAGCAAAGCAATATGTAAGGGCTTGTCCGATTCTACAGAAATTTGCCCAGGAATGTGGGCCTCGCTGCCCAGGGGCTTTACGGGGAACGATGCTTCGAAAGCATTTAGCTACCTATACATCGATGCTTAACGTCAAAGATTTCCAAATTGATAGGCTTGCCAATTTTATGGGTCATCATAAAGATATACATAAAGAAATCTACAGAATCCCTGTAACAGTAGCGGAGATAGCCGAAGTATCCCAGATGCTTATGGCAGCTCTTGGAAATAATGTTGAGGATGAAAACACAGTAGCCCTTGATCAGTTCGAAGAAAGTAAGTACATAGATTCATCAAGTTTGTGGGTGATACTAAGAGTAGTTATGGTGAAAAATGTAATATCTTAACTTAACTAATAATTACTTGTCCGGCTTATTGTGAATGTTTTTACATTGTACCTGAAATCCATTTTGCAAATGATCCTTTAGAGGATTCGGAATCAGATTATTCTGAACAGCGATCAGAAAGCGACTTCAATATTTCCGATGATGAAATTGTAGAAAAATCGAACAAAAAAGGAAAGCGCCCAAGTAGTAAGTATTAAATTGCAACCTACATATTTATGTCACGTGCTTACATGCATCGCGTTTAGGCTATACTATTTATCCTCATTGACAAAGTAAAAAGAGATATCGTGCTTGTGAAATGTCCGATCGTCTGTTCAAACGAACGCGATATTTTGCTGGCCCTTTAAAGTTATATCGACGAGAAGTAAAGTGCTAAGATTATATAATGACGACCACTGCGTCGTGGTAAATCGCAAAAATCGTCCTAAATAACAAACCTTATAAAATCATAGAGATTGACTAACTTTTAGTTGAAGACGAAGATGTTTAACTGGGTGCGTGGCGAATGTTTAAAATTAGTATCACCTAATAAATTGTTCTGGTAGGCTGTATTAAATTCATATTGTTAATTTTACTTTAACCTAAGATGATTTGAAACTGCATTCAAAAAGTATTTGAGTTTAATTTCAACTAAGCCAGCCTTTCACTGAATAAAAATTTACATAAATGACGTTATTAAATACATTTATAGTATGCATTTTTAACAAATTCAAAATATTCTTAGCATAAATTAATATTAACATAAAAAAATACGAAAAAGTATAGTCAATTTAGTTCTAAATATGGTCAACATATTCATTATTTAATGTATTTGCGGAGTTGATTTTCTTGATTTAGCCTTGCGCTGATTATCCATGTTTTTACTTGCGCCGGTGTCCTACATTTTAGATATGTAGAATTATTTATAACTGCGTTGCATTGCTTAAGCGACGGCAATCCTTTAAGAGACAACAGGTCTCCAAAAGCCTGGTATATTTCTTCACGCTCTTCATTCGACCAACGGTTTCTTATGGTTTTTCCAAATGATGATTCTGTTAAATAATAAAGTTTAATATAATTTAGTGTGCAAAAGATTAACGTTTTAGTAATAAATAAAAATCAATTAGAAGCGTCGCAGTCGGTTGCAACCGTCGCAATACTCAATCACAGACCAATAACAGCTTAATAAAGCCTACCAAAACAATTTATTAGGTGATATTAATTTTAAACATTTGCCACGCACCCAGTTAAACATCTTCGTCTTCAACTAAAAGTTAGTCAATCTCTATGATTGTATAAGGTTTGTTATTTAGGACGATTTTTGCCATTTACCACGCCGTAGTGGTCGTCATTATATAATTTTAGCACTTTACTTCTCGTTGATATAACTTTAATGGGCCAGCGTTCGGTTGAACAGACGATCGGACATTTTACAAGCGCGATATCTCTTTTTACTTTGTCAATGAGGATAAATAGGATAGCCTAAACGCAATGTATGTAAGTACGTGACATAAATATGTAGGTTGCAATTTAATACTTACTACTTGGGCGCTTTCCTTTTTAGTCGATTTTTCTACAATATCATCATCGGAAATATTGAAGTCGCTTTCTGATCGCTGTTCAGAATAATCTGATTCCGAATCCTCTAAAGGATCATCTGCAAAATGGATTTGAGGTACAATGTAAAAACATTCACAATAAGCCCGACAAGTAATTATTAGTTAAGTTAAGATATTACATTTTTCACCATAACTACTCTTAGTATCACCCACAAACTTGATGAATCTATGTACTTACTTTCTTCGAACTGATCAAGGGCTACTGTGTTTTCATCCTCAACATTATTTCCAAGAGCTGCCATAAGCATCTGGGATACTTCGGCTATCTCCGCTACTGTTACAGGGATTGTAGATTTCTTTATGTATATCTTTATGATGACCCATAAAATTGGCAAGCCTATCAATTTGGACATCTTTGACGTTAAGCATCGATGTATAGGTAGCTAAATGCTTTCGAAGCATCGTTTCCCGTAAAGCCCCTGGGCAGCGAGCCCCACATTCCTGGGCAAATTTTTTCAGAATCGGACAAGCCCTTACATATTGATTTGCTAAGGGCTTGGCGTTAGGCACGCTAAATATGTAATCATTATTTTTTTTAACACCAGCTCTTTTACGATGTTTGAGAATAGTTTCTATACAATACTTGTCAAACGGTGTGAGCAGCACTGGCACAGTTCGATTGAGTTTTCCACGAATAGTCAAACTTGTGTATTTTTGAGCGATTTCTCTAGTTTCTTTCGTGAGACGTTCGAAGTTTTATTTATCTACATTTTCATCGATGGTGTGCCCTGTTAGATAGTTCTCAATTGTTAGTCTTTCAAATTCACCGGCTCTACGGCGGTTAAAAATTTGAAGGCCAATTAGTGTGCTTTGTATCAACGATGTCCATGATAAAAAATCAAACTTAATTTTTAGCACACTCAGAGCGCTTTCCGATTTTTTTATCACATAATCAAACAGTTTTTTGATGTCTTCTTTACATGGTAAAATAGTTGGTAGGGCTCTTTTTTTCTTTGACTGGTCCTCTATAGCTTTTTTGTTTATAAAAAGAGGAATTTCGGTTTCCCATAGAACAAGAAAATCTTTAATTAATTTTTTTTTGCATGATTTTGTGTTTTAATGCAATGAGTCCACAATATTTTTGCGCACTTTTTAATTAGAGTTGTAAGGTTCGTTGCAACTGAAGGTGTTTTAAAAAACATCGAAGAAGAGTCCCACTGAGCCACTTTTCTGATACAAGATATCATCAAATCCAAATGTTTGGGATTAATGGCGTCTATAAGTTCCTGTATCTCATTAGATTCTGATTTTTTTATTTCATGTAAAAGTCTGCTGAGCAATCTCATGTTTGCTCTGATCATATCGTACTGAAGTTCGCCGTGCTTCATAGATTCTGCGTTTGCGAATAAAACAATCAATTCATCATATATAAGATTTCTAGAAATGGGATCATCATTTAAAACAGGCATTATTTTTGTGCGCACAACGTCATTTGCACTTTTATGGATGAAGCCGTTTTGAAGCAAGTTTTGGAGCGACCTTGTTTAAGCAAGTCACGAGTTCCTTTCTTATGATCGCTCCCTTTGCAATTATTAATATGACTCCGTATTGTGCTTTTGGGGAAAAATCCGGAACATTCCTTGCCACATATGAAATCAACCGCTTCGTTTTTAGAGTTTACACGCTTTTGACGAGGCACGATTAGAGTTCCGTTATTTAACGATGCATCGATATAATGGATATAATCACCATTTTTCCTAATCTCATCAATAAGTAATCTGCGAGTTTTGTCATTTTTCGACAGGAACAAACATTTTTGTACTTGCAGCTCATTTTTATGAACAATCTGCAAGTGACGAGCAAATTTTGTTTGCAATTTATTGCAAAATAAGCAAAAATGTTTCTTACAATTTGTTTGGGTTTTAAAAAAGGGTTGTGTAAGAAAAAACTTGTTTAATGTTGGAATTATTTAAAATGCTGGACCGGTTAGTTATATCCGGAGCATAACTGGAATCGAATCCTTGCGTGGAATCTGGACAATTAGTATTAAGCGATTGAAATGAATCGTTTATCGTGGAATGATTTTGATTTTTTGCCGATGAATCTATCCTATCCTAAAGATCCACTATTAGCCGATGTATTTTGAGTTGTGTTTATAAATTGTTCGGATGCATCTTTTTGAATATATTTAATAATAGATAAAAAGGAATCTATTTTAATTATTAATGGACGTAATTCAATATTTTAAGTAAATATTTTGTATTCAATATAGTAGCACTAGGAGCAGTGCCATATACATATTTAAGAACATTTATTTTGCTTAACTTTCAGACCTTTAAGGATATGGCATAGTGTATACCTCCACTTCAGTTGCAGTTAATTGGCATTTGCTATGATCATTCGGATGTGTCTCTATTGCATCTTATATTTTAATACAATCATTTTTATATAACGTTAAGCAGCATGAATGTTGTTAAAAAATGTATCTCTGTACTGATCATGATAAGGATTAAATTTATATATATAAAAAAAAATGTATTTATACTTTTCATTACCTTTGTTAGAAATATATAAATATAAGACGAGCACAAGACAGTTGAAACGAACACAAACTAGCTGGAATAAACACGAATCAGTTAACAAAATAAAATTTGAGTAACATCAAGTATATAAAAATAGCCTTAGTAAATAAATAAAAAAATTAACAAAAACGGTTTAAATACGTCAGGAGGCATATAGCTTGCAAGAGAACGTCACTTGCACTTTTATGCATAGAGCCGGTTTTAGAGCGACCTTGCTTAAGCAAGTCAGGAGTTCCTTTCTTATGATCGCCGCCTATGCAATTATTTATATGACTGCGTATTGCACTTTTGGGGAAAAAATCCAGAACATCCCTTGCAACATATGACAACATATTCGTTTTTAGAGTTAATTAGCTTTAAAATTTCGTTATTTAACGATGCATCGATATTGTCGATTTAATCGCCATTACTCCAAATCTCATTAATAACTACTTTTCGAGTTTTGTCATTTTTCGACAGGCATTAACACTTTTTTACTTGTGGCTTATTATTATGGAAGTGACGAACGAATTTTGATTGCAATTTATTACAAAACAAGCAAAAAAAAGTTTTCACAATTAGGAATAATCAAATCCCTTATATCACTTAGTGGAGTTACATTAACTTGGAAGTATATAAGTGCTGGACTGATTAGTTATATCCGGAGTATAGTTGGAATCGACTCCTTGAATAGAATGTGGAAAATTACCAAACGATTTAAATGTATAAAATGCTTATGCTGGGGAATCTAGCCATTTAGAGGCCAGTCTTTGTCTATTATGTTAAGGTATAAGTATTTTATTAATACATTTATTTATTTTACATGTTAATATAAGACGGGCACAAGACACCTGAAACGAACACAAAATAGCTGGTACTAGCACAAATTAGGTAACGATCCAAAAGGCGAGTATTATCAGTATACAATGTTAGCTTTAGTTAAAATACGAATTAGCAAAAAGTGTTTGAATACTAAAAAAGGTTTGTACGTCCGGAGGCATATAGCGTACAAGAGAATACACTATTCCTAGAAAAGTAATGACCGATTGTGTCTTTTGTGTAGCTTTTTATAATAAATTGATCTTATTTTGCATATGTGAGTAACTCATAATACAAATGATAATTAAATTGTTTTCAACAACTAATAAGGCTATAAATCTTTTGATATTTTCCGACTCTGGCCTTAAAACTGTGGTACTCACAATTATGCATATTTAAGACTTAACATATAATAATAAATACATTACAAAACATAACTCTGTCAGAAGTGTAATACAAATGATTTTTTATTTAGTCCTGGCTTAGTTTTAACACTAACCACACAATGTATAGACATACCAAATGGCACTTTTAATCGAAACAAGAAAAATCGAAACGAGGCAACCCCAATGGTACCTGCGACTATTTTAGTGTACCCAGACAGAGTAAGACTGCTGAGAGTGGCAGCCGAACGCCGGCCTCAAAAGTCGAACGTTCAGTAAGAAGCCGCATCTCGCTCAGCGCACAACGTCGCGGGTGATGCGTTTTCTTAAAATATGTGTGTGTGGCATTTTTAAATCCTTACAGCCCAAAAACATATATGTGTATGCATGTGCCTCGCTCTCACTCATTGCTCGCGCACTTGCATCCATCTCTTTCTCCCTGCATAGCTTCCCACAAAACCCCGAGATCTACAAACATTCATACGTTTGTGTTGTGTGGATGTGCGCACAAGTAGATCGCGGCGTTTGTCGCGAGCCAGAGGTTATTTCTTCAATTGTGTGCCTGTGATAGCAATAGGCACTCACATTTAAATGCTCTATCATATATTTCTTCGTCCAGTCAGGCATGATAAGAATAATTTGATAAAATTTTATTTAATACACAATTAATTGACCTAAATAAAATATTTATATTTATTTTCTGTTTACTGTAGCGACCTATTTTGTTTAAAATACAAAAATATCTAAGTCGTATTTCTGCAAGGGTAATTCATCGTCGGCTTGTCGAAGCATTTAAGAAAAGACCAAAAATTGACGCACACTCTTTCAAGTAAGCAGTTGTGTGAAATTGTTAAAGGGTTTGGCCTGTTCATGTGCAAAATTGCTATTTTCCATGCTGGTTGTAGGGGTAAGGGTACCTGATCGCTGGCATGTGTGCATAACTTTTTGGGTCGGCCAACCACGCACACTAACACACTTTTCTATATGGGTGGAAGCATTTATGCGCTTGTGTGCCTGTTGCTTGCCTGCCTGCCTGTCCCCGATGCAAATATAACAAGATTTTAGGATTTCTGATTTTGGACCTCTACACATAGACACACACATACAAATGTCTGTGAATGGGCTGATCATGGGCGCAAAAGAAAATACATTATTGGCACGCGTCTAATGCGCGCCCTTCTTTTTAATGATTTTGATGATATAAAAAATATAATTATTGAATGGAGAAATGTCAAGCTCAACTTACCTCGCGAATCAATAATCTCCGCTTCGAAACTGCCTTTGCTAAATTTTGCAATGCACATTTTACTTCCTTCCACTATTTTAATTTTTTTTTATGCAATACATAATATTACTCGCACTTAATTAAGAAATACATCCTCTCGCAAAGTTTCCAGAAATTTAATGGCGCCAAGTTTTCGAGTTACGCGACGAGCAAGTCAAGTCATTTCTTCAAATGTACTTTTAAGGCAGCTCTGCACTATCAAATTGAATACTCGAAACGCGTTCATTTTGCTCGCGTTATGGTAAAAACTAGTCGATATTTATGCAATTAAAATGAAGATGTGAGAGAGATATTAAATTGATGATGGATTGTAAAAATGAAAGCGGTCAAAAAGAATAACTGTTATGAGGAAATAACTGTTTTTATTGGAAAAAAAAATTAAGCCGCATTTTTTTTATTAGATTATTATTTTCATGCTATTATCGATATCTAACTTATATGTATTTGGATCTTGGTCATATGTCGCCTGTTGCTCCAGAGTCTATAGGACTTTGTCAATACTTTCCTCCTCATCACTGTGTCTTTAAAGAAGACAGTTCAACGACAAAATTGCGAGGCGTTTTCGACGGCTAAGCAGCTACCTCGTCAGGTTATTCATTAAATGAACTATTGATGGCTGGACCTGTTATTCAAAGCTCGCTGTTTCATATCCTTCTTCGCTTTCGTAATTTCCCGATCCCTAACAGGAGATATTGGAAAAATGTATCGCTGCGTACGCGTTTCAGCACCGCATGATTTTCTCCAATGCATTCTGTGGCGAGACTCGCCAGAACAGGGTATAAAGATTTTTAAGCTGGATACAGTTACATACGGAACAAAGCCAGCTTCATTCCTCTCTATCCGTGCTATGCATCAGCAGTCTATGGATGAGGAAACTAATTTTCCATTTGGATCTCAGATTTTGCGGCGTGACTTCTACGTTGATGACCTCATTTCATGGGGTAATTCAATTCAAGAAGCAAAGGAACTTCTTAATCAGACGGCTGGAATCTTGGCAAGTGTGGGGTTCAAGTTGCGAAAGTGGTGCTCAAACAATTCTGCTGTACTGAAAGGGATACCCGTAGAGGACAGAGAATCTTCCCTAAAGGTTGATGATGGTAGCGACATCACCAAAACTCTTGGACTCGCTTGGGACTTAGCGTCGGATCGATTGTTGTTTTCGTTTTCGTCCATTCAGTAGAGATCTAAACCATCCAAAAGGTCAATACTATCGACCATAGCTCGCTTGTATGACCCGCTTGGACTCATAGGGCCGGTAATTGCCAAGATTAAAATCTTTATGCAGCAGATCTGGAAGGAGAAGCTTGAGTGGGACGAGAGGTTGCCATCATCACTGGCAACAGCTTGGCATGATCTTTGCTGCAGTTTTGAGAAGGCAGTTTCTTAAATTTCCTCATCTCGTGTCAATACCTGCAGCAGAGTTAGAAGTTCACGGTTTCTGCGACGCCAGCATCGAAGCATATGGGGCCTGTCTCTACGTCCTTTCTCGACGAACATCAGCCAGTTGTCAGCTGTTGTGCTCCAAATCGCGTGTAGCTCCTCTGAAAACAATCACAGTTCCAAAGCTAGAGCTCTGTGGTGCCGTCTTATTATCTAATCTCATGCGAGAGATATCTAAAATGAATCTGTTCGATGGAAAATTCTACTGTTGGTCGGATTCTGCTGTATGCCTTTCCTGGATAAGGACCGATCCCTGCAAGCTCAATGTGCTTGTGGCTAATCGCGTCACAGCAGTTCAAGAGCTAACTAATGGCATGGAATGGCGTTACGTGCCTACTGCACTCAACCCGGCAGATATACTCTTGAGAGGATCTACGCCCAGTGAATTAGATCAATCGTCACTGTGGTTCAACGGCCCAGAATTTCTAGTTAAAAACAAATTGGACTGGCCTGCTTCTTGCTTGTCAGAAAGGACAGAACTCGAACTTAAAAAAAGGGTCCTTATTGCGTCATCTCCCTTCGTTAATATAACTGTCACTTGTAAATACGTCAACTCATTTGATACAATGCAGCGTATATTTGGATATATTTATAAATTCATACATAAAAGCAGGCATCCTGGACTAACAGTGTCTGATATACAACATGGGACCCAACTCTTACTAAGGCTCGTCCAGAGAGCACACCTGTGGGAAGAGATCAAATCGTTGCAATCGAGAAGAGTTGTTAAACCGTCCAGTTGTATCGCATCACTTAACCCTTTTTCGGATGATTTCGGAATTCTTAGAGTTGATGGGCGCTTGAAAAACTCTTCGCTGGATTTCGACGCTCGCTATCCAATAATTCTCCCGTGTCACCACCCCATCACAAACTCAGTCATCACACGGTTTCACAATCGGGACTTACACGCTGGTCCACGGGCACTTCTTGCTCATATTCGGTTGCAGTATTGGCCGATTGGTGGAAGGAAGACCGTATCCAAGGTTGTTGGAAAATGTGTGAGATGCTTTCGTGCCAAGCCTCGATTAATAGAGCATATAATGGGTGATCTGCCCGTTTTGACTGCTTGTCGAGCCTTTGAAGTCTCTGGTGTTGACTATTGTGGACCATTTTTCTATAAGCCAGACGTACGAAATAAAGCTCCAGTCAAATGTTACATGGCTGTCTTCGTCTGCTTCGCGACTAAAGCGGTTCACCTGGAACTGGTCAAGGATCTGTCGACAGCTTCTTTCTTGAATGCGCTTAAGAGGTTTAAATCGACTCGATGCAGGCCATCGAGTGCAACCTCTGCGTTGCATTGCTTAAGCGACGGCAATCCTTTAAGAGACAACAGGTCTCCAAAAGCCTGGTATATTTGTTCACGCTCTTCATTCGACCAACGGTTTCTTATGGTTTTTCCAAATGATGATCCTGTTAAATAATAAAGTTTAATATAATTAAGTGTGAAAAAGATTAACGTTTTAGTAATAAATAAAAATCAATTAGAAGCGTCGCAGTCGGTTGGAACCGTCGCAATACTCAATCACAGACCAATAACAGCTTAATACAGCCTACCAAAACAATTTATTAGGTGATATTAATTTTAATCATTTGCCACGCACCCAGTTAAACATCTTCGTCTTCAACTAAAAGTTAGTCAATCTCTATGATTGTATAAGGTTTGTTATTTAGGACGATTTTTGCCATTTACCACGCCGCAGTGGTCGTCATTATATAATTTTAGCACTTTACTTCTCGTTGATATAACTTTAATGGGCCAGCGTTCGGTTGAACAGACGATCGGACATTTTACAAGCGCGATATCTCTTTTTACTTTGTCAATGAGGATAAATAGGATAGCCTAAACGCAATGTATGTAAGTACGTGACATAAATATGTAGGTTGCAATTTAATACTTACTACTTGGGCGCTTTCCTTTTTAGTCGATTTTTCTACAATATCATCATCGGAAATATTGAAGTCGCTTTCTGATCGCTGTTCAGAATAATCTGATTCCGAATCCTCTAAAGGATCATCTGCAAAATGGATTTGAGGTACAATGTAAAAACATTCACAATAAGCCCGACAAGTAATTATTAGTTAAGTTAAGATATTACATTTTTCACCATAACTACTCTTAGTATCACCCACAAACTTGATGAATCTATGTACTTACTTTCTTCGAACTGATCAAGGGCTACTGTGTTTTTATCCTCAACATTATTTCCAAGAGCTGCCATAAGCATCTGGGATACTTCGGCTATCTCCGCTACTGTTACAGGGATTCTGTAGATTTCTTTATGTATATCTTTATGATGACCCATAAAATTGGCAAGCCTATCAATTTGGAAATCTTTGACGTTAAGCATCGATGTACAGATAGCTAAATGCTTGCGAATCATCGTTCCCCGTAAAGCCCCTGGGCAGCGAGCCCCACATTCCTGGGCAAATTTTTTTTGAATCGGACAAGCCCTTACATATTGATTTGCTAAGGGCTTGGCGTTAGGCACGCTAAATATGTAATCATTATTTTTTTTAACACCAGCTCTTTTACGATGTTTGAAATTAGTTTCTATACAATACTTGTCAAACGGTGTGAGCAGCACTGGCACAGTTCGATTAAGTTTTCCACGAATAGTCAAACTTGTGTATTTTTGAGCGATTTCTCTAGTTTCTTTCGTGAGACGTTCGAAGTTTTATTTATCTACATTTTCATCGATGGTGTGCCCTGTTAGATAGTTCTCAATTGTTAGTCTTTCAAATTCACCGGCTCTACGGCGGTTAAAAATTTGAAGGCCAATTAGTGTGCTTTGTATCAACGATGTCCATGATAAAAAATCAAACTTAATTTTTAGCACACTCAGAACGCTTTCCGATTTTTTTATCACATAATCAAACAGTTTTTTGATGTCTTCTTTACATGGTAAAATAGTTGGTAGGGCTCTTTTTTTCTTTGACTGGTCCTCTATAGCTTTTTTGTGTATAAAAAGAGGAATTTCGGTTTCCCATAGAACAAGAAAATCTTTAATTAATTTTTTTTTGCATGATTTTGTGTTTTAATGCAATGAGTCCACAATATTTTTGCGCACTTTTTAATTAGAGTTGTAAGGTTCGTTGCAACTGAAGGTGTTTTAAAAGACATCGAAGAAGAGTCCCACTGAACCACTTTTCTGATACAAGATATCATCAAATCCAAATATTTGGGATTAATGGCGTCTATAAGTTCCTGTATCTCATTAGATTCTGATTTTTTTATTTCATGTAATAGTCTGCTGAGCAATCTCATGTTTGCTCTGATCATATCGTACTGAAGTTCGCCGTGCTTCATAGATTCTGCGTTTGCCAATAAAACAATCAATTCATCATATATAAGATTTCTAGAAATGGGATCATCATTTAAAACAGGCATTATTTTTGTGCGCACAACGTCATTTGCACTTTTATGGATGAAGCCGGTTTTGGAGCGACCTTGTTTAAGCAAGTCACGAGTTCCTTTCTTATGATCCCTCCCTTTGCAATTATTAATATGACTCCGTATTGTGCTTTTGGGGAAAAATCCGGAACATCCCTTGCAACATATGAAATCAACCGCTTCGTTTTTAGAGCTTACACACGAGGCACGATTAGAGTTCCGTTATTTAACGATGCATCGATATAATGGATATAATCACCATTTTTCCTAATCTCATCAATAAGTAATCTGCGAGTTTTGTCATTTTTCGACAGGAACAAAAATTTTTGTACTTGCAGCTCATTTTTATGAACAATCTGCAAGTGACGAGCAAATTTTGTTTGCAATTTATTTCAAAATAAGCAAAATGTTTCTTACAATTTGTTTGGGTTTTCGCAGTTGGAAAAATTAAATCCCTTACATCACTTAGTGGAGTTTCAGTTGTGTAAGAAAAAACTTGTTTAATGTTGGAATTATTTAAAATGCTGGACCGGTTAGTTATATCCGGAGCATAACTGGAATCGAATCCTTGCGTATTAAGCGATTGAAATGAATCGTTTATCGTGGAATGATTTTGATTTTTTGCCGATGAATCTATCCTATTCTAAAGATCCAATATTAGCCGATGTATTTTGAGTTGTGTTTATAAATTGTTCGGATGCATCTTTTTGAATATATTTAATAATAGATAAAAAGGAATCTATTTTAATTATTAATGGACGTAATTCAATATTTTAAGTAAATATTTTGTATTCAATATAGTAGCACTAGGAGCAGTGCCATATACATATTTAAGAACATTTATTTTGCTTAACTTTCAGACCTTTAAGGATATGGCATAGTGTATACCTCCACTTCAGTTGCAGTTAATTGGCATTTGCTATGATCATTCGGATGTGTCTCTATTGCATCTTATATTTTAATACAATCATTTTTATATAACGTTAAGCAGCATGAATGTTGTTAAAAAATGTATATCTGTACTGATCATGATAAGGATTAAATTTATATAAATATAAAATTTATATAAAATATAAAAAAATGTATTTATACTTTTCATTACCTTTGTTAGAAATATATAAATATAAGACGAGCACAAGACAGTTGAAACGAACACAAACTAGCTGGAAGGAACACGAATCAGTTAACAAAATAAAATTTGAGTAATATCAAGTATATAAAAATAGCCTTAGTAAATAAATAAAAAAATTAACAAAAACGGTTTAAATACGTCAGGAGGCATATAGCTTGCTTATAGAGAACGTCACTTGCACTTTTATGCATAGAGCCGGTTTTAGAGCGACCTTGCTTAAGCAAGTCAGGAGTTCCTTTCTTATGATCGCCGCCTATGCAATTATTTATATGACTGCGTATTGTACTTTTGGGGAAAAAATCCAGAACATCCCTTGCAACATATGACAACATATTCGTTTTTAGAGTTAATTCTCTTTAAAATTTCGTTATTTAACGATGCATCGATATTGTCGATTTAATCGCCATTACTCCAAATCTCATTAATAACTACTTTTCGAGTTTTCTCATTTTTCGACAGGCATAAACATTTTTTTACTTGTGGCTTATTATTATGGAAGTGACGAACGAATTTTGATTGCAATTTATTACAAAACAAGCAAAAAAAAGTTTTCACAATTAGGAATAATCAAATCCCTTATATCACTTAGTGGAGTTACATAAACTTGGAAGTATATAAGTGCTGGACTGATTAGTTATATCCGGAGTATAGTTGGAATCGACTCCTTGAATAGAATGTGGAAAATTACCAAACGATTTAAATGTATAAAATGCTTATGCTGGGGAATCTAGTCATTTAGAGGCCAGTCTTTGTCTATTATGTTAAGGTATAAGTTTTTTATCAATACATTTATTTATTTTACATGTTAATATAAGACGGGCACAAGACACCTGAAACGAACACAAAATAACTGGTACTAGCACAAATTAGGTAACAATCCAAAAGGCGAGTATTATCAGTATACAATGTTAGCTTTAGTTAAAATACAAATTAGCAAAAACTGTTTGAATACTAAAAAAGGTTTGTACGTCCGGAGGCATATAGCGTACAAGAGAATACACTATTCCTAGAAAAGTAATGACCGATTGTGTCTTTTGTGTAGCTTTTTATAATAAATTAATCTGATTTTGCATATATGATTAACTCATAATACAAATGATAATTAAATTGTTTTCAACAACTAATAAGGCTATAAATCTTTTGATATTTTCCGACTCTGGCCTTAAAACTGTGGTACTCACAATTATGCATATTTAAGACTTAACATATAATAATAAATACATTACAAAACATAACTCTGTCAGAAGTGTAATACAAATGATTTTTTATTTAGTCCTGGCTTAGTTTTAACACTAACCATACAATGTATAGACATACCAAATGGCATTTTTAATCGAAACAAGAAAAATCGAAACGAGGCAACCCCAATGGTACCTGCGACTATTTTAGTGTACCCAGACAGAGTAAGACTGCTGAGAGTTGCAGCCGAACGCCGGCCTCAAAAGCCGAACGTTCAGTAAGAAGCCGCATCTCGCTCAGCGCACAACGTCGCGGGTGATGCGTTTTCTTAAAATATGTGTGTGTGGCATTTTTAAATCCTTACAGCCCAAAAACATATATGTGTATGCATGTGCCTCGCTCTCACTCATTGCTCGCGCACTTGCATCCATCTCTTTCTCCCTGCATAGCTTCCCACAAAACCCCGAGATCTACAAACGTTCATACGTTTGTGTTGTGTGGATGTGCGCACAAGTAGATCGCGGCGTTTGTCGCGAGCCAGAGGTTATTTCTTCAATTGTGTGCCTGTGATAGCAATAGGCACTCACATTTAAATGCTCTATCATATATTTCTTCGTCCAGTCAGGCATGATAAGAATAATTTGATAAAATTTTATTTAATACACAATTAATTGACCTAAATAAAATATTTATATTTATTTTCTGTTTATTGTAGCGACCTATTTTGTTTAAAATACAAAAATATCTAAGTCGTATTTCTGCAAGGGTTATTCATCGTCGGCTTGTCGAAGCATTTAAGAAAAGACCAAAAATTGACGCACACTCTTTCAAGTAAGCAGTTGTGTGAAATTGTTAAAGGGTTTGGCCTGTTCTGGTTGTAGGGGTAAGGGTACCTGATCGCTGGCATGTGTGCATAACTTTTTGGGTCGGCCAACTACGCACACTAACACACTTTTCTATATGGATGGAAGCATTTATGCGCTTGTGTGCCTGTTGCTTGCCTGCCTGCCTGTCCCCGATGCAAATATAACAAGATTTTAGGATTTCTGATTTTGGACCTCTACACATAGACACACACATACAAATGTCTGTGAATGGGCTGATCATGGGCGCAAAAGAAAATACATTATTGGCACGCGTCTAATGCGCGCCCTTCTTTTTAATGATTTTGATGATATAAAAAATATAATTATTGAATGGAGAAATGTCAAGCTCAACTTACCTCGCGAATCAATAATCTCCGCTTCGAAACTGCCTTTGCTAAATTTTGCAATGCACATTTTACTTCCTTCCACTATTTTAATTTTTTTTTATGCAATACATAATATTACTCGCACTTAATTAAGAAATACATCCTCTCGCAAAGTTTCCAGAAATTTAATGGCGCCAAGTTTTCGAGTTACGCGACGAGCAAGTCAAGTCATTTCTTCAAATGTACTTTTAAGGCAGCTCTGCACTATCAAATTGAATACTCGAAACGCGTTCATTTTGCTCGCGTTATGGTAAAAACTAGTCGATATTTATGCAATTAAAATGAAGATGTGAGAGAGATATTAAATTGATGATGGATTGTAAAAATGAAAGCGGTCAAAAAGAATAACTGTTATGAGGAAATAACTGTTTTTATTGGAAAAAAAAATTAAGCCGCATTTTTTTTATTAGATTATTATTTTCATGCTATTATCGATATCTAACTTATATGTATTTGGATCTTGGTCATATGTCGCCTGTTGCTCCAGAGTCTATAGGACGTTGTCAATACTTTCCTCCTCATCACTGTGTCTTTAAAGAAGACAGTTCAACGACAAAATTGCGAGGCGTTTTCGACGGCTAAGCAGCTACCTCGTCAGGTTATTCATTAAATGAACTATTGATGGCTGGACCTGTTATTCAAAGCTCGCTGTTTCATATCCTTCTTCGCTTTCGTAATTTCCCGATCCCTAACAGGAGATATTGGAAAAATGTATCGCTGCGTACGCGTTTCAGCACCGCATGATTTTCTCCAATGCATTCTGTGGCGAGACTCGCCAGAACAGGGTATAAAGATTTTTAAGCTGGATACAGTTACATACGGAACAAAGCCAGCTTCATTCCTCTCTATCCGTGCTATGCATCAGCAGTCTATGGATGGGGAAACTAATTTTCCATTTGGATCTCAGATTTTGCGGCGTGACTTCTACGTTGATGACCTCATTTCATGGGGTAATTCAATTCAAGAAGCAAAGGAACTTCTTAATCAGACGGCTGGAATCTTGGCAAGTGTGGGGTTCAAGTTGCGAAAGTGGTGCTCAAACAATTCTGCTGTACTGAAAGGGATACCCGTAGAGGACAGAGAATCTTCCCTAAAGGTTGATGATGGTAGCGACATCACCAAAACTCTTGGACTCGCTTGGGACTTAGCGTCGGATCGATTGTTGTTTTCGTTTTCGTCCATTCAGTAGAGATCTAAACCATCCAAAAGGTCAATACTATCGACCATAGCTCGCTTGTATGACCCGCTTGGACTCATAGGGCCGGTAATTGCCAAGATTAAAATCTTTATGCAGCAGATCTGGAAGGAGAAGCTTGAGTGGGACGAGAGGTTGCCATCATCACTGGCAACAGCTTGGCATGATCTTTGCTGCAGTTTTGAGAAGGCAGTTTCTTAAATTTCCTCATCTCGTGTCAATACCTGCAGCAGAGTTAGAAGTTCACGGTTTCTGCGACGCCAGCATCGAAGCATATGGGGCCTGTCTCTACGTCCTTTCTCGACGAACATCAGCCAGTTGTCAGCTGTTGTGCTCCAAATCGCGTGTAGCTCCTCTGAAAACAATCACAGTTCCAAAGCTAGAGCTCTGTGGTGCCGTCTTATTATCTAATCTCATGCGAGAGATATCTAAAATGAATCTGTTCGATGGAAAATTCTACTGTTGGTCGGATTCTGCTGTATGCCTTTCCTGGATAAGGACCGATCCCTGCAAGCTCAATGTGCTTGTGGCTAATCGCGTCACAGCAGTTCAAGAGCTAACTAATGGCATGGAATGGCGTTACGTGCCTACTGCACTCAACCCGGCAGATATACTCTTGAGAGGATCTACGCCCAGTGAATTAGATCAATCGTCACTGTGGTTCAACGGCCCAGAATTTCTAGTTAAAAACAAATTGGACTGGCCTGCTTCTTGCTTGTCAGAAAGGACAGAACTCGAACTTAAAAAAAGGGTCCTTATTGCGTCATCTCCCTTCGTTAATATAACTGTCACTTGTAAATACGTCAACTCATTTGATACAATGCAGCGTATATTTGGATATATTTATAAATTCATACATAAAAGCAGGCATCCTGGACTAACAGTGTCTGATATACAACATGGGACCCAACTCTTACTAAGGCTCGTCCAGAGAGCACACCTGTGGGAAGAGATCAAATCGTTGCAATCGAGAAGAGTTGTTAAACCGTCCAGTTGTATCGCATCACTTAACCCTTTTTCGGATGATTTCGGAATTCTTAGAGTTGATGGGCGCTTGAAAAACTCTTCGCTGGATTTCGACGCTCGCTATCCAATAATTCTCCCGTGTCACCACCCCATCACAAACTCAGTCATCACACGGTTTCACAATCGGGACTTACACGCTGGTCCACGGGCACTTCTTGCTCATATTCGGTTGCAGTATTGGCCGATTGGTGGAAGGAAGACCGTATCCAAGGTTGTTGGAAAATGTGTGAGATGCTTTCGTGCCAAGCCTCGATTAATAGAGCATATAATGGGTGATCTGCCCGTTTTGACTGCTTGTCGAGCCTTTGAAGTCTCTGGTGTTGACTATTGTGGACCATTTTTCTATAAGCCAGACGTACGAAATAAAGCTCCAGTCAAATGTTACATGGCCGTCTTCGTCTGCTTCGCGACTAAAGCGGTTCACCTGGAACTGGTCAAGGATCTGTCGACAGCTTCTTTCTTGAATGCGCTTAAGAGGTTTAAATCGACTCGATGCAGGCCACCTCAGATATGGTCGGATAACGCTACCAACTTTGTCGGCGCCAAAAACGAGCTTCTGGATCTCAAGCGTCTATTCATAAGTCGTAATCATATTGAGTCAGTGCATAATTTTTGCATGGCTGATTCCATTGATTGGAAATTTATACCTCCTCGTTCACCGCATTTTGGCGGCCTTTGGGAAGCAACAGTGAAGACAGCGAAACATCATTTTTATCGTGCTGTTGGATCTTGTGTTCTCAACTTCGAAGAGTTTCGCACCCTAGTCTGCCATATAGCATCGATAATTAATTCTAAGCCATTGTTTCCTCTTTCAGAAGATCCAGCAGATCTAGATGTGCTCACTCCAGCTCATTTATTGATTGGTGGACCCAGCTCATCGTTCTTTGAACCTGATGTGACGCACCTTCAATTCAATCGTCTGGCTGGTTGGCAACGCGTAACGTACCTCCAACAACTGTTTTGGTCTCGCTGGCGTGAAGAATACTTAACACTGCTTCAGCAGCGCTCCAAATGGCGTACTCCGAAACCAGGCCTATGCGTCTACGACATAGTCCTCGTAAAGGATGAAAATCTGCCGCCTCTAAGGTGGCCACTGGCGAGAATCACAGAGTTAATCGTGGGATAGGATGGAGTTGCTCGAGTAGCCATTTTGCGCACCACAACAGGAGAAACGAGCTGCAAACAAGCTATGCCTATTGCCCATCAGGGAATCTGTTGAAAGCCCATGCCTTCCAACGGGGGGAGAATGTCTGGTTACGCAGCCAAAACAACTGGAGCGCCCTCGCAACTGATAAGAGCAGCATCTTAATTTTATCTTATAATACTCGCTCTGCAAGTGCCTAAATTTCGCTCTTAAGAATTCATTTACATAGAGCTGCCGCTCTTCGCTGTAACGATCGTTTTATTACCCTAGCTATACTTATGCAAAGGCCTCGATGCTGCGCATCGAGTTTGTTAAGTCAGTTCGCTTCATGCATTTGGTACTCATCGGCCACTTGCATTATTCAAAATTATAACTAATAATTGTCTCTTCGCTAAAATTGGCACGTACTAATTCGGGTTCGCTTGCCTATATATAAACTAAACACAGACCAATTCGGATCTGCCTGCTTCTCGTAACTTTAAGAAATATAAAACAATTTTGAACACAAAAAATAAATAGTTAATTATTTCTATTTGTGAAAGCTATTGAAAAAGCTCAATAGCGCAACATATATGTTTCTAACAAAGGTAATGAAAAGTATAAATACAGTTTTTTATATATATATAAATAAAATCCTTATCATGATCAGTACAGATATACATTTATTTAACAACATTCATGCTGCTTAACGTTATATAAAAATGATTGTATTAAAATAAAAGATGCAATAGAGACACATCCGAATGATCATAGCAAATGCCAATTAACTGCAACTGAAGTGGAGGTATACACTATTCCATATCCTTAAAGGTCTGAAAGTTAAGCAAAATATGTATATGGCACTGCTCCTAGTGCTACTATATTGAAAACAAAATATTTACTTAAAATATTGAATTACGTCCATTTATAATTAAAATGAATTTCTTTTTATCTATTAATTATTAAATATATTCAAATAGATGCATCCGAACAATTTATAAACACAGCTCAAAATGCATCAGCTAATAGTGGAACTTTAGGACCTAACGACTTTGGCTCTGTTTAGATTCATCGGCAAAAAATCAAAATCGTTCCACGATAAACGATTCATTTCAAGGATTCGATTCCAGTTATGCTCCGGATATAACTAACCGGTCCAGCATTTTAAATAATTCCAACATTAAACAAGTTTTTTCTTACACAACTGAAACTCCACTAAGTGATGTAAGGGATTTAATTATTCCAACTGTGAAAACCCTAACAAATTGTAAGAAACATTTTTGCTTATTTTGCAATAAATTGCAAACAAAATTTGCTCGTCACTTGCAGATTGTTCATAAAAATTAGCCGCAAGTACAACAATTTTTGTTCCTGTCGAAAAATGACAAAGCTCGTAGATTACTTATTGATGAGATATGGAAAAATGGTGATTATAATCATAATATCGATGCATCGTTAAATAACGGAACTCTAATCGTGCCCCGTCAAAAGCGTGTAAGCTCTAAAAACGAAGCGGTTGATTTCATATGTTGCAAGGGATGTTCCGGATTTTTCCCCAAAAGCACAATACGGAGTCATATTAATAATTGCAAAGGGAGCGATCATAAGAAAGGAACTCGTGACTTGCTTAAACAAGGTCGCTCCAAAACCGGCTTCATCCATAAAAGTGCAAATGACGTTGTGCGCACAAAAATAATGCCTGTTTTAAATGATGATCCCATTTCTAGAAATCTTATATATGATGAATTGATTGTTTTATTCGCAAACGCAGAATCTATGAAGCACGGCGAACTTCAGTACGATATGATCAGAGCAAACATGAGATTGCTCAGCAGACTTTTACATGAAATAAAAAAATCAGAATCTAATGAGATACAGGAACTTAAAGACGCCATTAATCCCAAACATTTGGATTTGATGATATCTTGTATCAGAAAAGTGGCTCAGTGGGACTCTTCTTCGTTGTTTTTTAAAACACCTTCAGTTGCAACGAACCTTACAACTCTAATTATTGCATTAAAACACAAAATCATGCAAAAAAAAAAAAATTAATTAAAGATTTTCTTGTTCTATGGGAAACCGAAATTCCTCTTTTTATAAACAAAAAAGCTATAGAGGACCAGTCAAAAAAAAAAAGAGCCCTACCAACTATTTTACCATGTAAAGAAGACATTAAAAAACTGTTTGATTATGTGATAAAAAAATCGGAAAGCGCTCTGAGTGTGCTAAAAATTAAGTTTGATTTTTTATCATAGACATCGTTACAAAGCACACTAATTGGCCTTCAAATTTTTAACCGCCGTAGAGCCGGTGAATTTGAAAGACGTTTGACAAGTATTGTATAGAAACTATTCTCAAACATCGTAAAAGAGCTGGAGTTAAAAAAAAAATAATGATTACATATTTAGCGTGCCTAACGCCAAGCCCTTAGCAAATCAATATGTAAGGGCTTGTCCGATTCAAAAAAAATTTGCCCAGGAATGTGGGGTTCGCTGCCCAGGGGCTTTACGGGGAACGATGATTCGCAAGCATTTAGCTATCTGTACATCGATGCTTAACGTCAAAGATTTCCAAATTGATAGGCTTGCCAATTTTATGGGTCATCATAAAGATATACATAAAGAAATCTACAGAATCCCTGTAACAGTAGAGGAGATAGCCGAAGTATCCCAGATGCTTATGGCAGCTCTTGGAAATAATGTTGAGGATAAAAACACAGTAGCCCTTGATCCGTTTCAAGAAAGTAAGTACATAGATTCATCAAGTTTGTGGGTGATACTAAGAGTAGTTATGGTGAAAAATGTAATATCTTAACTTAGCTAATAATTACTTGTCGGGCTTATTGTGAATGTTTTTACATTTTACCTGAAATCCATTTTGCGGATGATCCTTTAGAGGGTTCGGAATCAGATTATTCTGAACAGCGATCAGAAAGCGACTTCAATATTTCCGATGATGATATTGTAGAAAAATCGAATAAAAAAGGAAAGCGCCCAAGTAGTAAGTATTAAATTGCAACCTACATATTTATGTCACGTGCTTACATGCATTGCGTTTAGGCTATCCTATTTATCCTCATTGACAAAGTAAAAAGAGATATCGCGCTTGTGAAATGTCCGATCGTCTGATCGCTGGCCCATTAAAGTTATATCAACGAGAAGTAAAGTGCTAAAATTATATAATGACGACTACTGCGGCGTGGTAAATGGCAAAAATATATATATATATATATTATACTTTATATATTATATTAAACTTTATTATTTAACAGGATCATCATTTGGAAAAACCATAAGAAACCGTTGGTCGAATGAAGAGCGTGAAGAAATATACCAGGCTTTTGGAGACCTGTTGTCTCTTAAAGGATTGCCGTCGCTTAAGCAATGCAACGCAGTTATAAATAATTCTACATATCTAAAATGTAGGACACCGGCGCAAGTAAAAACATGGATAGATAATCAGCGCAAGGCTAAATCAAGAAAATCAACTCCGCAAATAGATTAAATAATGAATATGTTGACCATATTTAGAACTAAATTGACTATACTTTTTCGTATTTTTTTATGTTAATATTAATTTATGATAAGAATACTTGGAATTTGTTAAAAATGCATACTATAAATGTATTAAATAACGTCATTTATGTAAATTCATATTGTTAATTTTACTTTAACCTAAGATGATTTGAAACTGCATTCAAAATGTATTTGAGTTTAATTTCAACTAAGCCAGCCTGGCACTGAATTTAAAATGTATAGATTTAATAAAATATTGCTGAGTTTTATGGGCGTTACACTTACATTCGAGTTTTGTTGTATTTCACCGTTCCTGTGTCCTCATACCCTCTATATAATCGCTATATATATAAAATATTTGCATCTTACTCAGTATGTTATTTGAGGACAGCCATTTGATTTTTATTTACTAAATTGGGGTGTGAACTGGACCAAATCTCATCGTTCCTGTGTCCTTATAATACACTTTGCTTATCCAAAAATATCTGCATCTGGCAACCCCGCGTACATTATTCGGAAACTTTTTATGTTATATACTGAGAGTATTTCGAGAACCGAGTCCTCATAAAGTACGTTGGATGTTTGGCACCCTAAGTTGTGGTGTTTCACTTCGTGGAGATGCCACATCGACCAAATGAGGATATAAACATTTTAGTAAAAAACATATTTTTGGGACAACTAGAGTTCGAAATGTATTTTATTCTTTTTAAATAATCAAATATATTCAAGATAACTCTAATCGGATTGCATCGTAGTTAAGCAGATGTCAGAAAATGCATTTAAAATCTATGTTACCGAAAAATCCTCTCAGCATAAAGCAGACCAACTTTAAGATAATATAAACATTTTATTATTTGACGTACAGGCAAAGTGTTGGTTGGATAATGTTAAGCAAATGTACCGTTTTTTTTTATTAATCCTAAGGCTTACTCTGAGAATTGTGTTTTATGGAGAATTTTGAAAAGTCCCCAATGTAGACATTTAAGTCCAAAAAATGTTGAGGTCTGACTCCAAAATAGCCAATTGTCCCTATAAACAACGCAGCATATAAAAAAAGTCCTGATTTTGGACGCTCCATATATATATATATATATATATATATATATATATATATATATATATATATATATATATATTGCCTTAAGTATATTGTGTATATGAATATTGTTGCATGTTATACGCTCTCCTCAATAATAATTGAAGTTTTAATTCAAGTATGCGTATATATATATTTTATATATTCCTTCATCCGTCAATTCCATAATTTCATATATATATAAATATATATATATATATACATCAATATGGCCTTAAGTATTGTATATATATATATATATATATATATATATATATATATATATATATTATTCTATGTTATATGCTCTCCTCAATAATTATTGAAGTTTTAATATAGATATTGTGTATATATATTTTTATATATTCCATCCGTCAAATTCCATATTTTCATAAATATATATATCAATATTGTTTTAAGTATTGAATATATATATATTGTTCTATGCTAAGTATAAAATATTTGAAAGCAACGTAGATGAACAAATTTCGTACAGTAGGCATACAAACATCAATAAATGTATATCAATTATAAATTGATAATATATTTTAAGCGAATGTATAACCCAATTATACGAATTATGTTCGTCTAGTGTTACTTTTTTTCGAATCATCAAGCAAAGGACAAGCTTCAGTGGATCGCAGTATGGCAGCTGCTCAACCACTTACAACACCTTGCCTGTTACAAAAGCCGTTTACTATTGATTCTAGGCTTTGACATTGTATAAAATAATGTTGTAAAATATAACTAGGGCGGCATCAGGTGATCGAAGATCCTCCCAATTTACTATGTTATAAATAACATTGGCATCACATCCATTGTCGTTAATAAAACAAATTAAAAACTTTTAATGGTTTAGAAGCCATACAATGCAAATTGCCCCTTATTTATCATTGCAGTCCAGCACGGATACGACCTTAGAGGCGTTCAGGCATAATCCAACAGACGTAGCGTCATACCACTGTTCGCTCGAACAAGTATTGCGCCATTGGTCCGTACCTGCGGTTCCTCTCGTACTACGCAGGAATGCTGTCGCAACAACGTTTTGTCATTAGTAGGGTAAAACTAAACTGTCTCACGACGGTCTAAGCCCAGCTCACGTTCCCTTGCATGGGTGAACAATCCAACGCTTGGTGAATTTTGCTTCACAATGATAGGAAGAGCCGACATCGAAGGATCAAAAAGCGACGTCGCTATGAACGCTTGGCCGCCACAAGCCAGTTATCCCTATGGTAACTTTTCTGACACCTCTTGGTAAAAACTCTTGAAACCAAAAGGATAGATAGGCCGAGCTTTTGCTGTCCCTGTGTGTACTGAACACCGAGATCAAGTCAGCATTTGCCCTTTTGCTCTATGTGTGGTTTCTGTCCGCACTGAGCTGGCCTTGGGACACCTCCGTTATTATTTGAGAGATGTACCGCCCCAGTCAAACTCCCTACCTGGCAATGTCCTTGAATTGGATCATACCTGAGTAATTGGAGTTATACCAAATTTTTAAATCAATAATACATAAATGCATTCTCTCATTAAAGAATTTGTTTGCGATTATATAACAAACTCGTGATTCTTTGATCAAGAAGCTTGCATCAAAACCCAATACCATAAGACATAATAATTATATCCGTATAATGGGTAGGAAATGATACACGTTCCATTTAATCAAGTAAGTAAGGAAACAATAAGAGTAGTGGTATTTCATTGTCGATACCAAACCGAAGTCTAATATCTCCTTATCCCACTTATTCTACACCTCTTATGTCTCCTTACACTGCCAGATTAGAGTCAAGCTCAAAATGGTCTTCTTTCCCCGCTAATTATTTCAAGCCCATTCCTTTGGCTGTGGTTTCGCTAGATCGTAGATAGGGACTAAACAAAACATATTTGTTTAACACGCCACGTGTACCCCGTAGGGATTTACTACAACGGTTTTCGAAATACAGCGAGCCGAAACAAAGCGTCGGACTAGCGCCCCTCCAAAACACTACATGTGCAGTGCCCCGTCGGTACCAAATTGAATGCATGCTTGTCGAACATGACATTCCCCGTTGGTGGGAGGTGAGATCTATCTATACCTCCGCTAGTCTTTGGGTACAGCACCCGGTTGACACGCAACTCCACGCCGAGTGAAAACTCTCCTCATAATTGGGTATCGAACCACAGCCACCACGATACTCCCCGAAGGGCCGCACCAATTAACCAGGACGGAACGAGTTCCGTGGGCTCCTGGTTACCCGTGGTACCAAATTACAGCTTTGGTCGGCAGTTCGTAGCAATTGCCACTTCCCAGTTTTGTTGACGACAAACACGGAATGGGTCATCAAATGTTCGACTTACCCCAAATTGGGGTTTGTCTACCAGATTAAGCTCTGTTCGGCTTCGTGACACGGTCCATGCCACTCCCAGCTTTGACTAACGTCAGCCCGGCACTGGTCGGCCCTGTGTGGTTGCACTTCACTCACGCCGTCTAGCAAACACCGCCCGCGCAAACATCTCCCGGAGTAGGAGCCGCTCTGTTGTCTCCAGGACCCGGGAAAAGTCCCAACGGGTACCTTCTCTCCTTACACCAAGTCCGTAGAGGTCTCGCAGATCTGCATAGAGTGGGCAAGCAACTAGCATGTGCTGCCAGTCTTCATGCTCCGCACCGCATTGACATGCGGGCGTTGCACTCAAACTTCTCTGGGACGACGGATGGAGCAGGACATCCATCTTGGTGTTCCAGATGAACGGCCCACTGATGGATCCCTGGGGACACCCTCGCGTGACCTCCACCTCCACTGCGCCACATTTGCTGGTCATCCTGGCTTTCCTGCCACAGAAGAAGCTTCTCCACAAGCTAGCTTCCTTGCATCCCGCATCGATCAAGCGGCGCATCGCGGCGCTCCACTCAATGTTGTCAAAGCCGCCTTTAAAGTCCACGAAGAGACCAAGTACGCATACCGCCTGGCTGGCGGCAATGCTGGTCATCACGTGCTTCCAGGCGTCTTCGACACAGCGTCCAGGTCGAAAGCCAAATTGCCATCTATTTCCATCCGGAAGCACCTCCTTCATTCGATCCACCATGATCCCCTCAAGCACTTTGCCAAACACTGCCAACAGGCAGATGCCCCGAAAGGAAGCTGGATCGCTTCTATCCTTGTAGGGGCCCTTGAGTAGCGCAACTACACGCGGGCACTTCCACTCAAGGGGAAAGTATCCTTCTGTCAGGCAGCGGGAATACAACGTTGTCAGGTGCTCGAGGATGGCACGCCATACCGCCTTGCAGACCCCACCTGTAATGCCGTCAATCCCGGGAGAGCGCCTGCTCTTCAAAGGAGCAACGCATACTTCAACCTCGAAAGCTTCGAGCGCTGGAGCAGCTTCGTCCGGAATGAGGATGTCTTCACTCGACTCCGCAACTGGAAAAATGCTGTGAAGGAGGAGACTCGCGCAGTCGTGCCATGTTACGACCAGCCCGGCACCTCAAATCGGTAGACCGCTTTCGTCCCCGGCATATCCAGTAGACGTGCCCCCACGGATCGTCTCTGTGGTCTCCAACGAAGCGTCGCCAGTTTTCCTCCTTCGTCTTCAGGATGAGCATCTTGAACTCGCGGACAGCTGTCCGCAGATTAGCTGCAAGATACGGTGCAGATTCATGACCTCTGCGCCGTGCATCTTGGAGCCTCCGCCTCAGTCTCCTGACCTCGCTGCGTTTGGTACGGCAGTCCCCCATTTAACTTTTCCCTGGGCTCTCGACTGTGGCCTAACACTCTGTCGCACACAGACTGTACGGCAAGGCGTAGGGCAGACACCGCGGTATCCAACGGCAACATCCTAATATCCTCCTGGGAAAGGTGCTCCTCGATTTCCTCTACCAGCTCCGAGTCGAACAATCGCCAATAAACATTTGCGAGCTTCCAGGACGGCACAGGAGCATAGCTTTCAACTGCATTTGCTGGGGATGGCGAAGT